CGGGGGGGTGGGGTAATTTTGGTTTGTGGGAATATAAAAAACTCAAAATGTCACCGGTTAACCCACAGAAAATTGAAAAGAAAGTGACAGATTGGGGGCCATAAAATAATTTAACTTGTGTTTCAGATACCTCAGGGATGTTAGTACGCATGTTATTAGACCGCAAACAATGCTGATTTTACACTGTTTTCAATTGGGCTTGAATTAGTGGACTACACCTTGCGGAACCCGTTTACTTTTAAAGGTCAAAGTTCAGAAGAGCATTGCCTGCCCAAGTTCGAGACATTTTTTGGAAGATACGTGACCCCAAACGTGCTCTTTCAACAAGAAATTGGATCGATTAGTTGTCAACATAGGGGTTATTTTCTGGACCTATTTTTGGATGACATCTTAAAGAGTTTCCTGAATAGGGGAAGATGAAGACTGTAAACCAAACCTAGCTATTTCTCGCGTGTCTTGGAGACTCCCAGAATTTTCCTAATCACATGATTAAGTAAGACTATTTTGTCATATACTGGTCTTCAACGTTCAAGCCCATGAGCATGGTGCAAAACGAGAGCTAGAGGGGGACATGCAAATTTCATCTTTATCCCCTCCCACTCACGGAAATAAATGCAATTACTTTTGCACGTCAAAGTGGACTGAAGCCTGATTGGCTTACCTTGGTCACAGAACTCTCCTGTCCACGCCCCCGAGCAGCTGCAGTAGAACTGGTCGGCATTTAGTTGCCTACATTCTGCGTTGTTCTGGCAAACTCCGCCCATATTTCCGCATTCTAAAAAATAAAAAAGTGATCCTGTGAATCACTAAAATGGAGTCTATTAATAATGGATGTTTCATGTAGACGAAAAATGTGAGAAGGGTCCAGAATCACTACCCTTATGTGTGCATATGTTTTCAACTAAAATTATGTTATTTCTGTATCCAGTATACTTATTTTCTCATGCAGTTAGCATGCATATTTCCCTGTCAAATCTCTCCAGTTTCAGCCTTAAATGCCCCGACGTGTACATTCGACTGGATTATAACATTTCCGGATCCTCAAGTGGAGAATGCCGTGGATTTCACATGTACAAGAAGTTTTTCGGCAAGTCCACAATGCCTTCCTAAGGTCGATTCACAAACAAGTCATTCAGCACCTCTGCAGGTCTTATTTGTCATGATTATGAATACCAACTCCGCCAGATTCAAAATCCACCAGGAAGTCTGGGCAGATTTGCTTGGCATGAGGAAGACCAGCCCGACACGTTCATTCTAAACATGAATTGATATTTGTGACATATTAATTTAAACTGGCAGTTGAAGAGGTTTCCACTCTAATTCCTTATAAGAGTTAGGTGGATCGACACGTGTAATACTCATAAATGAGAAACAGTTTGTCGGCACTTACACAGATATGTTTTAGAACCGTTCATGATTATGACATCAGCCTGTACTGTGCACACAGTAATCCGTTATGGTTAACAGCATTAAATTCCTTGCAAAATAGCTTTGCTCAGTCAGTTGGAAAATGATATTACTCTACCAAAATAAGGAAGTGAAATGCAAGAAATTGGAAACCAATGTGCCTTTAGCTCCGTCCTCTTACATAGAGGATAGCTTGGCAGAAGTAGATTTAAAAGTATTTCAACTTTTTACATCTGGACGAGGAGGAAAGCTATATTTCAGGAACAGGCCAATCTCTTCCTCCTTTCGAGTAAAAACTGTAGAAGAGATGTTGATGGATGAGACCGAAAATTGCGGGCTTTTGTCATCAGTGCTACGTGAGAGGCCCAGGGCTTCAGTATTGCAGACTGGCGCGTGAAAGCAAACGAAAAACCAGTTCAGATTCCTTTAATATTGCATCAATTAAATATGCCAAAATTCATCTGGGTCAATTTCATAGAGCTGCTTAAGCACAAAATTTGCTTAAGCAGCGGGAAAAAACTTGACAAACAAAGGTTACCAGCTCAAACTCTATCTGATTGTCATGCTAACCAGAAAGCAGCTAAATACGACCCCAAAACAGTATACATCACATGGAATGTTGGTTAGTTACCTGATTTATCAAGTAAGGTTTTTTCACGCTTAAGCAAATTTTGTGCTTAAGCAGCTCTATGAAATTGGCCCCAGCTGTTTGCTACTCCCCATGTAAAAACGCCGAGCAATTTTTTTTGCTCAACGTTGGGTACCAGGTGAATCGCATAACCGTTGGGCAAAAGAGTATAATACATGTACTCGGTAAAAATGGCAGTACAATTAACCTTTTCTACAACCGTTCGATGACATGAGAGACAAGTTTGCCTCTTTTTGCTCAACAGTGTCTAATAGGCGAGCCACCTGGTACCCAGCGTTGGGCAAACAAAAATTGCCTATAGCGTTTTTCTCCACATCATAGTCTCCCAATCGTCATTCCGCTAGATTACAGAACAGAGGTTGGACATGAAATCGCTTGGCCTCATCATTCCTACATGTAAATGTCAAAGGAAGGTCTTCTTGTACAGAGACCCCAACTTGACATGTAAAATACCGAAGTCCTCTTTTTCAGGTAACTCATAAAACTACTGGAAGATTTTATCGGTCAAAGAACGAGTCATGTCGTCAGAGTTTGTTTCCCAAGTTTGTCTAACTTAGTCGGGCAGAATGACAAACTCATACGTTGATGACTATTTCAACTATCTTTGAGGACATTTCCTTATCGTTAGAAAAGAAAGCTTCTACTTTAGCATTCGAATGTTGAAAATACAAGTGGGAGTGTTCAATGTTCACAGAGGACTTTTCTTTTTTATAAATCGTGATGCAAATGTATCTATACGAAGCTCTCAATCGGAGGTCTATTTGACTTGAGTGACATTCGTTTCAGAACCTTTTCGATGGGAGTATCAAACTAAATCTTTCAAAGTTCAATTTAATCTTAACTATAAAAGACCATTCTACAACTTTTTCTTAGCACTCTTGTAAAACTTCCTATAGCAAGATGTAATCCTTCTGTCAGCAGGGTAAATACCGTGCCCAAAATTGGCAGGGGTGGGGAAACGTATGAGGATGACTTGCCCGGCCGTTATGAGGATGACTTGCCCGGCCGTTATGAGGATGACTTGCCCGGCCGTTATGAGGATGACTTGCCCGGCCGTGGAAATTTGAAAACTGTACATTGGGGCAATATTCATGATACAGAGGTACATTCGTAATATGTATTACATTCCTGCAGAATAGTACACCAGAATGGCATATTTCTCGGGTGCTATTGAATACATTTTGGTTGTCTGCAAGTCCGGTCTTATCTGCCTTACGTTTTTTCTCACCACAAAAACTGTGTGTGGGCGATATACCCCCATCCCCCGGGATTTACACCCATGCCTATCAGGAAAGAGTTCCATCGTTATGTAGACGCCGCTTGACAGCTTATTCACAAACCTAATACACTGGCCTGAAAAAAATTGCTTTTTACAAAGATATCCTTAATATTTTCCCTACTAAATTTGACTTTTTCGGTCATGTTATAGCTTTCAGATGGCTCGCTAATAGGTCACTGTAAGGAAAATTAGTGGCGTTCGTATATGGAATTCTTTCCTAGGAAAGAGTTCCATGTGACGGACAACACTTGATAACCATGTGTGCCACCTATGGGACTCGTGTGAAAAAAATGTTTTCTAAGTACATCCTTCGGAGTATTCTTAGTTAAATGTCCCTTTTTAGGATATTTATCACTTTCTGATGGCTGTTATAACATTTTAAGGGAAAAATTAGTTTTCCGTATATGGAACTCTTTCTAAATTCTTTGGTATGTCACAAATACATGTAAACAGAAAATAAATTCTGCACTGACTTATGTCAGGGAACAGGGAAATGAACACAATCACTGCATTTTTGCAGAAATGACATAAAGTGACTAGACATTTAAGGCATAAGTGCACAGTGTATGTACCTTGGGCGTAACTGACGCTGAACAGAAGGCAGAACATCCCATTTAACGCGACTGCAACAACCCCTCCAGAATAAGATCTCCGGTGCAACATCTTCGCTGTGGTTGGACCTGCAAAATAGACCTTTCGACACAAACCCGTATGGTTATGTCTTGTAGGAAATGAAGTCAAAACGAGGCAAAATTAACTCAAAGACTTGGGTCACTTTGGTAGTGAACCATTTTAGAAACAACTCCAAAATATAAGACACTGAACTCGTTACGTCCATTCAGTTACATGAAAAAACCCGGAACATCTCGGGTGGATATGTTTAAGCGCGGCACGTTTTGCATTCACGCTTATTCAAGCGTTCAAAGTGACGTAACTCACAAAACATTTCCAGCTTAGGCCTTGGTCGGGAAGGATCAAGTCTTTGGAATGCAAATCGAGGCTGTATTTAAGTTTCTTCGTGGAACACTCGCTAAAGACTCTTGACACTGCTGTGTTGACCACAGTCTGTTGTGATGTTTCATAAAGGTTATTTTTAAAACGCCGGCTTCATTCCAATTTCGCGTCTGCATGGCCAAGCTTCAATTCCGAACTTAATGGGCAATCCACAAAGGTTTGCCTTAGATGGCGAACACGTAGAATTGACAGACGATTGGTGAAGTAAAGTGCGCCGCAACCTGATTGGATAGAGGAAATGTAAGAGACTCCCTGTTCCCGTGATGCTGAAATTCCGGAGTAGGCCTAATGTGAATGCCTTGGCGCGTTTTCAGTTCTCGAAAAATTGAAAGGGTTGAAAGGGTTGATTGTTATTATTGTTTGATAACCGTGGACCGATGTAACGACCCTCATATCTTTAAAGGTTGATAATCCGGCATTAGCATTAGCAATGATCTGTAAGGTCGAAGGCCTCGTTGCATTTTTTTGTGACATGGTCAACCGTGGGAGAGTATGATGGCGGCGATGGGCCGTGAGCCTTTGGCAGCCCGAGAGAAACATTTTCAGGCGGTTTGGATAGAAAATTAGAGGGGGTATTGCTGATTTTGATGGGGGAGGGGAAGTCAAGAGGACAATATAAACGTCCGCGGAGAAAAACTCTTTTGTTTAGGTCCTTTGAAGTCCGCAGTGAAGTTTTCTGCCATGACAAGATGACACGAGTGGGACTTAAATTTGAAAAAAAAAATCACCGGGACTCTGTAGTCTGAGTCTATCTCTGGTTGCGATAGGAGTCTTATGTCGAAAACGCTGCTGTGCTCGTAAACGGGATTGGCCTTCAATCGATGAAAGGAGAAAAAAGGGGGGTAATGATGAGTTTCGAGCTGGACCAAGAGAGGGCGCTATTCTCTTAGCAACGGAGGCTCCTTTGGTGAGAGCTGAACTATGCTGGTTCACCAACGAAATGCACCCAATACTGTCGCGTCGTCACCAGCAAAATGAAAACGCCAAACCAACATATCTGATGAGGGGTGCTTGTGCTCAAGGCGGATACACCTTCACTTTCTGAACCGTACGGATTTCAATCCCAATTGAATCAATCACTTTGAAGAGGTAGAGAAATATATTTGGTTGCACTTTCTGCAAAATGTCGCCGCCTGAATCAAGCAAGGTGCATGCCAGTGGCAATATCCTGTGGAGGCGGGAAGTTTCCGCCCCCCCCCCGAGTTACGATTAGGTCATTCTTTAAGGAAATTAAATGCGTGAGCATTGTAAAAGCATCACTACCCAACTTCCGTTTTTAGCGAGGATTCTTGTATACGTGAAAAAAATGAACACTTGTTTTAGCAAAACGTTTGCTCTTTGCTCTCCCCCAGACCGGAATAGCTGGATCATAGGCCGCTGGTGCTCACGCCTCAATTTGCTGGTCCTGATGTTACGGTTGCATAATAGCCTCTGGAGAAGGACCCAACGAAAACACTGGGAAAGGATTGGAGGTTGGTATTGAAAATCCATTGTTTAATGATGGGACTGAGTAAAAATAGTCGGACTAATTGGGGGTCGGTTGTCCACGCATAGGTGTACTGCAGTCTTCAGCACTGTACCACCATACCCGTAGGACTCCACTATTAAGTGGACCATTGATAACTAGTTCAAGGGCGGCACTGCTTTGTATGACGCTTCTCAAGATTTGTCGGTTCCCGGAAAAACATCTCGTCTGCGGCATCGTCAAGAAAAAGGAGAACTTGTAAACCTCTTCTAGTTAGTTCTTTTAATGATTAAACGAAGAGACCACTTTTCTGATCACCATTATGTAGATTATCATGTTTACTTTTTATTTCACACACACCAAATATTGTTTATTTATTGCTGGTTACACATACCTTTGTCTGTCTACAAAGTTTGCAGGTTACAGTGTATCTTATTTCCGTTCAATCTAAGAACAAAGTTCAATGCCTGGCAGGATGGGGAAATCAACGGGGCTTTACGGAATTGGCGTAATTTTAGGCAGTCATTTCAGACAAAGTAGCTTTCCACTTTTCATAAAGTAGTACAGAATGTAAAAATTCATGGTGCTATGTCTGATTTCCTGAAGTGTAAACCAAAGTTGGCCATGCTGAAAATGCCTTGGTGTTTTGTCGTTGGGCCCAACCTGAACAGACCAAAGTTACATCAAATCTCACTTGGGACATCGTAACCTCCTTTCCAACTTGACGATTTTTTTAAACAGCCAACACCAACAATAACCAGTTCACAATACATCACGCATACAATGATACATGTAAAATCCGGCTGATTTACCGTAGAAGTGGATATTTCTCATAAGCATAAAGGTCAAAGGGTAATCTTCAGTAAAATGCACTGGAAAAGGAGTTTTTTGATAATTCCATTTGATTTATAATAAATTGCACCCGTTGAGCTGAAATAATGCTTTCCATGAGAATGTGTGGACCTATCTTAAAGTTTACACTCACTTTAATGTGAAAGAGAGTTTTTCCCAAAATGATTTAATCACTTTACAAAGTATTTACTTCTAGTTTTTTTATAATACCGTTGTTTTTCGGTAAATGTATAGTTTGGCCCCAATAGTCTTTAAATAATAGTATTACCCTACTTGAAGCACCCTGTACAAGAAACTATTAGAAACACCCTGTAGAATATAACTGTAATCCTATAAGCAAAAATATAGGCCTTCATTCTATTAGATATCTTAGGCCCTGAAGGCGATATATTTAGTCAATCCGTCATCATAAACACACATTGATATAGAAATGACGGCATCGGAAAAAGAATTGGGCGGGTTTGTTTAGTACGGCTGTATTTTGGAACGAGATCCTGATTTTTACGCCATAAAAAATGAAACTGAAGTATGAAAGTCCCTAGGATTGATTGAAGAAGAAAAAGTTCTTATGAGGTTAAACTTCAACTTCTTTTTTTTATTATTTTTGATGAGTGGTGATAGTATGTTGGGTAATCCTATGGACAGGGATAATTCCAGATCTGAATAAATGAGTCATAGTAGAAACAGTGGAATTCCTGTCATAGACCATACAATGTCAAATGTTGACATCCTATGTGCAGTTCTGTATTCAAATCTACGGGATTAATTACCAGACAGCGCATTGATACATTATACTATAACTGTACAGTAGGCCATAGACTATAGACCAGCGTAAGTTACTTGAGAAGCGAATATTGCCCCGAGGAAACTTAAAATTGCCGCCGCCACCACCACTACCACGGTGCTGTCAAACGCCTGGACGATGCTTCCCATGCAGGACGACAGAGCGAGTTGGGCTACGAACACCATGCCTTGAACCAGGGCAATGTCGGTGCCCAGACCTCGAACCGTATGCCCGCTGGCCTGGTTAGCCCGAGTACCCGACTCACAGCAGCTGGATGGGGTTTCAAACTGTGGACAGAACAGAAAAGACTAAAGATTCAATAATGGGACGGATGATGCTTAAAAACTGAATTGGAGAAGAGAGTTACGACATGAGTGTCTCATTTGTTGGTGCCAATATGGTGCATTATGCGTCGGTGCCCATAATATTGCAGTTTATTCCTGTCAATCTCTTAGCATAAGGGGAGCTCATCATCAGTTAGATTTCTGACGTTAAGTTACGAGATTATAGCGGTTTTCATTAGCTAAGTGCGCAGATTAGCAGAACTACATTACTGACCGCAATGCGCTGTGCTTATTATGACTTGTTTCAAGTCATTTTTTTCTCACCAGAAAATTTCGCAACACAACATTGTACAGCCGCTCCTTGAAACTGGACCTCTGGCCAATATGGCATAGACATTTTTAAGAGCACCTGTAAGTATTTGCTTAGCGCATGGAAGTCATTGGCCAAAAGATCTGGCCATGGATGTCACTTGTTATTGGTTCTCCGCTGACTGCTGCTAAGCAATATCTCTGCTTAACAACTTCATGCAATCAGGCCCTAACCGCTCCAGAAAAAGACCGACGGAGGGAACAACTTGGGGACGAGGGTGAAAGTATACCCACCACGTTGCTTGAGTGGTAGTGAGCAACAATGACAAACGGTAGCGTGAAGAGGGTTGAGTACTGAATACCGGCACACGCTGAGAACAGGAAAGCGGCCCACACCGTCCTCACGTTGGCCAGGATGACCATACTGATGGAGTAGATGAGGTGGTTGCAAATGTACACCGGTCTGGCTCCTGTGGATAATAGGAATTGATCGATCAATAAATCCTACAAAGTAGCTTTTAAAGTTTTGATCGACCTGACCCATCAGCATATACCAGGGGCGGATTCTGGATTTCGCGGGGGGGGGGGGCTTGAACAAAAGCAGCAATGGTAGCGTGAGGTCCGGGGCATGTTGGATTTTAGGCCCTCTGTGGTGCAATTTCAGGTAGTCTATTTTCTTCTCTCTCCCTGTTCTTCTTTATTTATTTATTTGTCTATTTTTTGGTGCAAAAAAGAGGGGCGTGCGCCCCCACACCCCCTGGATCCGCCCCCGTATACTGCGAAAAAGTACTCGACGACGAAAATGGGACATTCCGATAGATGCGAACCCCGCACATGAGCATTTCTCCCTGCAGAATGGGGGTGAGGCAATGAATGCACTGTGGGAAATGCAATTTTTTTTCCTTTTTTGGCTCAAGCTATGCTGCCTGAGAAGCGTGGAAATCCACCACAAACGACCTGAGCACGGCTGCAGTGTGACGTGAGTTATGTCAACGTGTTTTGTCGCCTTTAAAGCCTCTCGACGAAATTTCCATTTTTTTTTAACAAGCATCATAAGCAGTGATCACTTTGCGCAGATGTTCCGGGAAGAACGACCTAATAAGGAAAGTCTATAGTCAAAATCATAAAAGCCGTTCGTCCCTCAGACTCCGTACGGACTAAATTTCCCGTGCGGCAGAAATTGCCTTTCACACTTGCTCATCTCAGACCGTCTGCACGGGCGGCATGGACGGGTGCAGATGTGCACATCAACCCGCTGGATGACCAAGAGCTGTCAACCTGAATGTGCCCACGTAGAGGTAGTTGCCTTTTTATCCCTAACCCCCAGGGTATATGTAAAATCATATTGTAATTGGAGGATTTGGGACTGTTAGGGTTATTTTGTCCCTTCGTTGGTTTTGACCAATTGTTTCGGCTTTGCGCAGTGATCTTGACATCTGCATATTGGTGAAAACGATAAAACCTCTCCTTCGATCATGACAAGCGCTTGCCTCCGTGTGTTATCACCATCTTTTTGGCCAAAATGAAATTAATCGTAAAATTGGCAACTGAAGGTGCCTTTCAATCAACGGCGTATCCAGCTTTTGGTGGTGGGGGATCCGAAAGTGAAGACGGTTTGGGGCTCATTTTAACACGATGTTAGCGGAGAAAAAAAATCAAAACCCTTACTCAAAAATCCGTCAGTGGGAAGTTACCCCCCCCACCCTCTCCCCTCCCCCACGGGATACACCACTAATTGCAATCCCAGGGATTAAATGTAAGCCACACCGTAAACTCTTATAAGTACATGCAAGTACCTGTCCCGATTCAGACATAAGATATATCCATGGGATTGTCAATGTTTTTCGTGCTGATGTACTCTTCTTTTATGAACGTGCTTACAACTATGAGAACCTGACATTGACGCCCGATTTCAAGGTCACTCTTCTTCACTGCACATTTCAGATTTCATTATTACATAGCAGCATCAGTTTGCCGTCGGGCAGAGAAAGAATACATGTAAAGTGCAAGCCCATGATTGGAATTGATTCGTGCACTGAATACACAAACAGTGCAGTCATCCCGTGGGTCCCGGGGTGTTATTTTCGAGGCAGGTGTCTTTTTCCTATCCGCCAGACATCGCATTAATTGGCTTGCCCGAGGGACGTGTCGGTGATTGTTAATTGCAATTCTAGGGATGGATCCCTCCCAGTGTAAAGCAGGCTGTCTCGTTCAGAATGAAATCCTTTCTTCACGAGCATTAATATTTGACGAACTCGAGGCTACAGTTTCATCATCGTTTCCCCGAAATCCAATTGAATTTCCTTCACTGATTTCTTTTTCTTTTTTAGCATAAAACAACATCCAATTCTTTTATTTTGCACTAAATTGAGATACAATTAGTGGTTCTCCACTCATCGGTCAACTAAACAGCAAGGACCGTACTACAATTTCCCTGTTATGGGCACAAGGATTGTTAAGTTCAAGTACTATCGCTGTTAAAGAAAGTGAAATATTTTGAAAGACTAGGATCTTGGTTCCCAAAAATACAAAAATAAGAAAATTGGGATTTACCTATGTTAACTGTTAGATGCCAATTCCTTAATCTTGCAAGTAAATGTGACAGGAAAAAATAGCCGGTAACAGTAGTTGAATCTTTTAGCACTCTTTAGAGGACAAAAAGTTACAGCATTGAAAACTGGCATATGTTTTGATTGATTAAAACTCAAAAATTTAACTAAAGTCAAAAAACAATGTGGTCGTAATTCTCAAGATCTTTCAAGATGGTTTCTTTTCAAACTATTAAACAATGATTTCGAAAATCTATTTGACACGAAATTGTTACAGGATTTTTATAAAAAGTTGTATGGCTTCGCGGGCAAACAGTAAAAAATAGTATGCACAGGAGGTGAAGATTTCTCTTAATGCTGAGGTGATGACAGAGATAGACAACCCCTTCCAAGTGGAATTTTCCTCTAGCCACAAAACCATCATTGGGAATTACGTCAACAATTTTTTAAAAAATATTTCAAGAGCATGAAAAGAAATAATAATGCATTAAATTCTTACCTATCTTATTGATGAGTCTATCCACGTTGTATGAACATATGGAGCAAGTGATGGAGTACATAGCCATGGCAAAGGAACCCATCCTCACTCCGTCAGCGTATCTGAGTCTCTCCACGGAGGCAGGGGCAGCTGTTGGGTCGCCCCCGTACACGGCCTGGCCGACGAAATCCGTGAAGTACAGCGAGTAGCAGAGCAGTGACATCCAGCCAAGGAGGTGCGTCAAGCAGAGGATGCGCAGCGACCACGGCATGAAGACGATGGACAGGAGGTAGGTGCCTATGGTGATGGTCGGGGGCTCCTCGTCCCAGTCGCCTCCCGTCGAACTCCAGTCTGACTCCGCATCCCCCTCTTCCTTGTTGAAGTGTTTGTTCTTGTCTCCAGCCTCGCCGAGGACCGCCTGCTTGCCTACTTTAACGCTGCCGTTGGCCAGACTGTGGCCCGAGGCGAGCTCCTCGTTCGCGTCGGCGTCCTTGTTTTCGACGAAAGTGGTGACAATTTCCGGATTTGGAGCATTGGAACCGTACGTTTTCACCTTTTGCTTCATGGTTCCCATCTCCATCTTTTCGGCAACTTCTGTTGGTCTGGCGTTGTTCACCTTCTCGTAGCCTCCATCTAGGGCGCGTTTCGTCTCTCGGGCCTTGCGCCTCTTCTCCTGAGGGAACAACTCGTACAGTGTCTGTTCTCGCTCAGCCGTGACGGTCAGAAGCACGGCCAGCACGAAGATGAAAAGGACGATGCTGAAGACGACCCGTACCTGGAGACTGACCGGGTCGTCATCGGTAGCCGGACCCCAGGGGATTCCCCCGATGGCGTAACCAATGGCACCTCCCAACCCAGCCATGAAGCTGAACGTGGCCAGGCCTTTGGCATGGTCAGCGGGATCGGTCACGTCGATTAGGTAGGCCCGGGCCGGCGACTGAGCGGCGTCGCAGTTGAAATCGAGCATCATGACACCGAGTATGGTCAGCGCCATTCCGCAGAACCTTATCGCCTTTGGCAGAGCGGGAACAGAAGTTACGACTGACGACAGGTGTGTAGGGCTTGTGTTAAAAACGTCCCCAACCGACATGCCTTCCGTAGCTGCACTCTGAGATGAATTCTTATACTCTAACTGAGATGAAAGGATTTCTTCAAGTTCTTTTATGAGAGCATCACGAATAGGCAGTTCAGTTGTCCTGATGGCAGCTTCGCTTGTTGCATTACTCCACTGGATTGCATCCACATTTTTTTTATCCATTTGCCGGTAGGCTGAAACATCACACACCCGTCCCGTGGGCCAGCCATAAGGTACAAGAAGGAGTCCAAAGACTACGCCGATGGAAAGCAAAATGATAAAGGGTCGGCGCCGGCCCAAGCTGGACTTACAGCGGTCACTGGCGGATCCCAGCAGCGGCATCAGAAACAGGCCCAAGAGCGGGCTGAGGCACCAGATCAGCGTCATGAAACGGGGCGGGATGCCGATGCGGAGCAGCACCGGGCTGACAAAGGCCGTCTCGGCGGCGTAGCAGAACTCGATGCCGCACACGGCGCCGCTGAGGCGGGCCAGGCGCAGGCGGGATTTGAGCCGCCCCGCCACGGCCTGCCGCTCTTCTTCGGCGATTATGGGCTCAACGTCGTCCAGGACTCGCCGTGGCATGCAGTCCTGGATCAGGGATTTGGTCGAGGTCCAAAACCGCGAACAAGCTGAACTGACCCTTCCCGAAACCATCTTGCCGGTAACAGAGAGGAAAACTCAGTCCCATTTAACTCACAGCTATTTACACCGGGAACGGCGATTTCATTTGCACGTGTTGCAGTACACTGGCGTCAATGGCTGGCGTAACTAAATCAACGTTTCATAACGAATAAGTTTGCCAGCTCGCATGCTTCTCAGAGACGGCAGTCGTTTTCCTTACTCTTGCCGATCTTGGAGCCGTACTGCGATATTAAATTTTGATGACAGTCTGGTGGTAACAGTTGCAAGATGTGACAGGCCGCACGGGGAAGGATGAGTCGACAGGAGGCCGGCTTTCGTCTACGTCATATGCAGGCTGATGGAGTTTCGTCATCCTTCCAGGCGAAGGGATTAGCACCTGCTTCCATTTCCGTTCATCGACGTGGCTCCTGATTATTCCCTGCCCAGGAGGCTTCGGAATCTACCAGCCTAGCAGATTAAAAAGTGCATGCGTTATTCATTTCAATGATTTCATCCATTCTCTGACCCCCCCAGACAACTATTCGATGTAAACGGGGATGCAATTTTTCTGTCCAAAAATAAGTTTAACGTTTCCATTCTATGAAAAGAATTCCTTCCTGTTTTAATCACTGCATGTCTTTTTATTTCTTCCTGAAAAACAGAGAGAGGGGAATGTTTTCAGGCAACAAAAGGAACAGATGTTTCTGGGGAGCATTCCTTGCCAAAAAATCGTTAGGACTTTAGTATACTTTGATCTGGGAGGATGTCATGCGGATGGTGATTGTAATTAAAGTTTGCAGAAGGACTTTCGAAGGTATGCTGGGCGATGTAGCGAGACAGATTATCGATTTCTGCTTTTTATGCCGTTTGTCACTCACAAAATTGAAAGAACCGTGCAGCAGACAAAAAAATCCCAAGACTCAGCCGAGATAGAGCCCCGTTTGAAAGATCCACAATGCTAACGGTGTAAAAAATATCAAGTCAATGTCTCGTGCTTACGTTTACGCTTGTCTTACGTTTGATGTAAATTCTCTTTAAGAAATGAACCAAGGGAAATTTAGTACTAAAATTATAAATTTCCTAAAATGAATGCTTGTAGTATGTGAAATAATTATTCATTTACTAAAATTAGCTCTAAAATTACCAAAAGTATTTGGCAATATCAGGGAATTTAGGGCTGTTAATAACGGAATTCTGAAGATCAGAGTTTTTTATATAAAGTTTTAATTTTTTTTCAAACTACACCCATTAAAAAGATATGTAGTGATGGCCTTTTAATATGCAACGTGTCAGAAGATTCTTTCTGATCTTCCAAACACCACACACCAAGTTTGTTTTCGATTCTCTGACAGATTAGGTTTTCTTCGTCGCGTGTCGGTCTAATAGTCTCACCTTCGTTTATTAAAACTCCTTAGCCACATTCCGCTTACCCACAGTGTTCTGATTGGCCATGCAGTTATTTCATAGGAAGCAGCTGGTTATGCAAATTGTTTAATTACACCCAGAGGAACATTACCTTTCTGCACGGTGGTTAGATATCACACCTTCACATCAACAATCTTTGCCCAATATGGCAAGATGTTAATACTGTACCGTATTGCATTTGTACTTCGTTCTCTGTCTTTACACCTTTTACGGCTTCCACACGGTGAGGAAAAATCGATTAGCCTTTCTTTCGCGAGAAATTTTATTTAGCGTTTTTGTAGCCTCTGAAGGTCATTTATGATACCGGAGGCGATGTAAACTCCACAGTTAGGGTAAGTAGCATATTGTTGGGGAAGTATATTAATAATGACATGGGTTTAAAAACCTCAATTATCCAGACACTAATTAAATACGAGCGATTCACAATAGTACGCCTCCAAGAGTTTGCAACGCGTTGGCCAATCACAGTGCGCGAAATCTGTCGACCCAATGCGCGTTTGGAAAGGGTCGGCAGGTTTCACGCATTGTGATCGGCCAACGTGTTGCAAACTTTTGGATGTGCACTATTGTGAATCGCCCGTATTGCATACATACCTTATATTTTAAGCATAATGTAAAGTAGGGCCTAATGTACGCACGTACGCATGTACGCATTGTACGCTTGCACGCGCGCTGACATGCACATTCCCCTAATATTAACCTTCTCCTTTTTTTTCTTGTTTTGAATTTAACTTCTTTGATATTAGTTTTAATACGTAATTTGTTGTAAAACCATTTCACTGCCAGCTTCGGACTTGGCTTCGACTCAGCAATTTGGACTGGGCTCGGACAAAAATGGACTTGGATTTGGCACGGATTTGAAACCTACACTATGCATTGTAAAAGTGTACACCACCGTGGGATCGCCCAATCTTCAGTGTTTTATTTTCTTTCAAAAATTAGGGTGAAAGGGAACCATATCAATGCCTTTTAAAAAAGCAAATCATTTGAATTTTGCGCAGCTAAGGCATTGGCTATACTCTGAGCTAGTGTTGTGCCAAACATAAATAAACTGATATTTTATAATTCAGCGCGGCAATAGCATGGCATTTAGCCGCAATTTAACTTGGCAAATTATATTTGCAGCGACGTCCTTCCACTAAGCAGGGCATGCTGCGCAATCGGTGATCTGAACGATAGTGGCACTGCACTGCTCGATTTGAAATTCAGCATAGCAGTAGCACGGCGTATCCGCCTCGAGCATGCAGAAGCGCCCCCGTATCGGTTGAAAAGAGCCATATTGGTCGGGAGTGTTCATTTTGTTGGTAGCGATGCGACCATAGCACGTGCATTTCCTTGTCGTTCATGAACCAGCAAAGATCAGTTCCGACCAAAGGAGCCACCGTTGCCAAGAAAATGGGGCTCTTGGTCCAGCTCGAGTCCGAAAGCCGAGGCCCAGTTGGCTAACTACCATCAGCTCAATCACCAACGGAATATAGTTGCAGCACGGAAGGCAAGTTCCCATTTCCTCGCTTGTAAACACAACTGAGAACATTTAAAAGCACAATACTAGATGGACAAATAGTTTTGTGTCAGTAAAGGCATTGAGCCGTACATGTTTGTTTGAACTAAAGAAACACGCTACTGGAATTGTGACAGGTGGTCGATTTTTAAGAATCATGATTCAAGTTGACCCTCGGAGTTCCTCCCATCGACAATCACCAACACGTGAAACCGACTTTTCCGAGGGTAAGGTTGTGTGATCACTTATACTAAAATGTGCTTTTAAATAACCTTTTCAATATGTCATACTAAAATGTGCTTTTAAATAACCTTTTCAATATAGTAATCATTTTGCAAAGGCCATACCGTTAGTGCTGAATAGTTCTATTAAGGCCAAGGGTCCTCACCGTGAAGGAGCAGACAATAAAGTGTAGACAAAGGGTCACTTTTGCTGGCATGAATATCGCAGATTATCGCAGAATATATCGCAGATTTTGCCCCAAACTTGAAAAATATGCACCATTGAATTCATTTGTAAGTTTTTTGATGTTTGATAAGTTTTGACTTTTAAGACATTAATGGGTTTTTATTCTGTAATCACATGAACCGCTTGAAACATTTGTCACGGTGAACGACTTTTGTTGTTGAACGAGTATCTCATCGAATGGTCCGTCAGAGGTGGAGGACGTTTTAATTGTTTGACACACAATCATGCTTCTTGTTTTTTGAAGAGCTGAACATCAGTGATAGACACAACAAATTTCAACTATTATAGGGGTACTTCACACCTTTCCAACAAGTAATCCTCTGTTGAACGAGTACTTAAAGTGGAAACAAGTAATCTAATTGCCATGTTTTTGGACATCAAATGTTCGACAAAAGGTGACCGTGTGATTTTCGCCGATTTAAAAAACCAACTTACAAATGAACTTGAAAACAGTAAGTGTTTCATTTTGACCTATGGAATTTTCAGTAAAGATTTATCCTTTGAGCATCGCTGCAAGACTCAAGTCCGGACTCAAGCCAATTTTTTTACATACTTTGGCTCACACTCAGACTAAGACTCTACGACTCAGTCCGAATCCCGCAAGAGTCCACACCAAAACCAACCGTTTTGTTGTCCTCAGCAACCTTCAACATTTAACAAGTAATTAAACGGGAAACAAGGTATGTTTATTTTCAGACTGAGACCACTGCCTGTGTCTCCTTCTCACCCTTTGTTAAGAAATCCAAAGACATGCAGGGCAGTAAGATTATGCCAAGTTGCCTCCTGAGACAGCGCATCCTAATTTTTATCTGTTAACTTCATTTTTCCTTTTGAAACATGTCCAGGATTTAGAAAAAATACCCAAGGCATTTGGTTTTGACAGAGGGGTGCAATGAGATCTCCCAACTAGTCCGACACCAACAACTTACAAATTTAACGAACTTGAACTGAACCCTAAAGGGAACTTACCGTTTATAACTCCTTATAACGTTTCGAAGTCAATTTTCCTCCGCTGACTGCCATGAACCAGCACCGCCTGGAATTCCTAAACTGATTCTCCTACTATTGAAAGGTCAACCTCGCACTCTGTGGTAAAGTCCACAGTTCAGTTATGAGCAAACCCAACTTCACAAGTACTTGACCCGACCTTGGTAACACCACCAATTCAAACAGACGGAACCTAACAACCAACCAACCACAAGGAACCTAGACTTCATATATAGGTACACCTACTATGAGAGAAGTTGAACTATTAATATTATTAATTTACCCACCGACTATGAGCTGTCATTTTACATGAACTTCGTCCGTACGTTGTCCTGATATATCACCCGTACACTAGGTCTGCGGATCTAGGCTACGTTCAAAACGCTATTTATGATTCCAGTTTCGATTTGGCATACTACGTTTAGATTCCTCTGTCATACACATTCGTTATATCATCAACATGTAAACAAACATGTTTTGTTAGTAATTACTTGCCTGATGACTTTTGCACAGTGATCTACCACTGTCTTCTGGGGTATGCTTTGGTCGATAAAGTGCCCCTACTTCTACCGTGCGTCATTCAGTGCACCGGTGTGGCATTAAGCGCAGTGTACGTTGAGAAAGTGGCAGTGTACGCCCGGTGGAATTTCTTCCCGGAGACCGGGAAATTCTTTTCGTTAGTACGTCCGTACGGAATTTCCATATGAAAGGGACGTCTTGAGTCTCATCACAAAGCTAAGAAGTACAGAGTCCTAAGCGAGCAAAGAGCAGATGCCTACAAACAGTGGATATTGTTTGAAAGCGGCTGTCTATTTTCAATGTGCTCAGCATTGACGCAATATTTGGTGCAGGTGAACATTAAATTGGAACTTAAAAATGAGTGCACATTCGATTATGTCGACCAGTGGTCGATTTTAGCTGGTACCAAGAATACATTTTGTTCATAGGTTACTAGGGAAGAGCAACCGTATCAACGCCATCACTGACCCTAAATTGACATAAACGTGCCATTAAATTACAGCATTGGGTTGATAATTATTGTGTTCCAAGTTTGAGAGTGAAGAGAATAAAGACGCGTTGTAAGCAGTTCAAGGCGATACGCTTGTTTTTTGTTGTTTTTTTTACTTTGTAGACGCATGTCACTGTCGAGTCACCAGAAAAGCTCTAACCAAATTCTGCCTAAATTACCAATATCACAAAGTCTGTTTAGTGATGAAACATGTTTTAATATCTTCGCTGTCTCCCTGTAAGCATATTTAAATATACCAAACATGTTCAGAGTATCGTGGGTTAATGTTTAGCAATTGACAGACGTTCTGGATTTGGATACAGGCCTATATTGTTTAGTCTCCAAACACGTTTCGATCCCGCTCTTTCTTACACCGCAAAATTATTTGCTACACACTATGATCAGTTCAATGAATTACAAACTGAGCTGAAATAGAAAAATACGATTTTAATTAAATTAAACCCAGTTCTAATAATATTTAGAAAAGCTTTAATAAAAAGATTAATTGGTCAGGGAAGGTGGACATAACTATTATCAAGACAGAAGGAAAAAACGGTTGCAACACTCACATGCACTACAGATGTTTTTGCGAAGTAGGTAGAATATTGAAGAGAAACATTGACAGACTGTACAAAATGTTAGATCTTTAAAAAGATCTTTTTTTCTCTGAAGGGAAGTTGTTACATCTCGAATTTTTTAATTGTTCAATTGTTACCAAATACATATATCGTATATACATATAGAAAGACATGTGGTTACAAGCGGGTTCTTGCACGCGTTCGATGTGCACGCGAAGACCACAAATTCTAGACTAAAATTGTTGCGCGTACTCAGCGTGCTCCGCGTCAAACGCGCATAAACCTGCGCACCTATGCAGTGCGTGAGTACCAAAGGACTGTCAATTTCATTTCAAAACACGCCCTCTTTTGTTCCTGCTCGGAGCAGATAGAAAGGGATGCTCGTGACGAACGCGTAGTTAGTTACGAATCCCTGAACGAACTTGGATGGGGGCATGTGGACGCAAAACCTGAACGCGTGAGTGTGGTACATTTCTTTGTCATCTGAGTGAAAATTTCTGCATCAACGAAGAGACAGGAAAGGAAAAACAGGCAACCTTACAAACCAAGAACAGAAAAAAAAATCTCCTAAACAACGAAAAAAGGGATTGCAAGTGCGCCCCCTTTAGATTCTTTTCTGTAATTTGTCAGAACTACACCATGATCATGAAAGGGACCCTCCTAAAAACGGGACTGTGAAGAAACAATTCAGGTCTACAGACGCAAACTCAGAGAAGGCAAATTTTATCGATCATCGGCGCAGGCTCCGTTTATCGTACTTTCATATAGGTCTGCATCAGCGCATAATCCTGCCCGTGGAGCGCGCTCCACGTGGCTCCCCTCGCGTGCTCTGATGTGTGTCCCCCGTTGATGTACTTCCCGTTGAGATTGCAACCGTGGCAGGCGTTGTACCACCAGGCGCCGTGGTAGTAGGAGGCACAGTTGTCGCCCCAGTTGTCGCCGTCGTAGTCGTAGGTCGAGAACACGCAATTATGGTGATAGTGCAGGTTGTCGCCTGCATTACCGCTGTAACTCCAGAAGAAACCACGATACCTGTGGAGAAATTTGAATTTCTTTTAAAGTAGGTTTCTTTCAGGGAATAAGGCAAAGGCCGATCGTAATATTTATAAAAGACTGAAGGCTGATGTGTAATTATCGTCATTATCTTTATAACATGAACACAAAACAATACATCTCTGTGGTAGTTTTGCATGAAAGGACCGTTAAAGGCCGTTTTTAGAGGCTCAAAATATGTTCATACGGATGATGGAACGTTGACGGGCGACAGTTGGTTCTCACGGGCCCTTTCGTGTAACCCCATTTCTTTATAGGTAACCTTCAACACCAGGCGTAGGCCTATTAAAGCAAAAAATCTCTATATTTCTTTAACCACAACTCTTTTATCAGAGTTCTCGCTGGATACTTCTCGAAAACTTCGCAAAAATTACAGGGTGCTACGATGCACCATTGACACACCGAATGCGGTGGCAGCCATCTTTAGAAGCCAAAGATATCCAGTCGTGGTGACTTAATTTCTGTGTTATTCCACGGTTATTAGCCTTGGCGGACAAAACAGGAGGGCGCAATGTAAAGAAGGTACACTTTAAGCAAACACGGGGCAAACGCCAAAGTTTTTACCCACACCAAATAGCGCCCTCCTATATTGTATCCACCATACATCAGAATAGGTTGATGGACGCGCACGCCTCAGTGAGATAAGAGAATTTCATGCAACCGCTGATATCACCTGAGCATGCCGCATTCTGAATATACTCGTCTTAACCGGAGTCTCGTCTTATCCGAGCTCGTATTACCGAGAGTCGACTGGTATCAATCGTTGTTCAGCAGAGCCTGCATGCTCAAAACAACGATTAATATAAAGTGCATGCAAGTCTATGTACTTCCTGCTCCAGCCAGTCGGAGTATAGCTGACGTTTCATGCAGAAATTCTGTCTATGCTTTGTAATAATCAACAGGTCTCCACATGCTCAATAGAAGGCGCCTGGTAAATGGTCCAAATTCCTGAGATCAAGACGCAGAGTTGTGTCGAAGTTTCAAATCAAACTAGAGCATAAGCCCCCCCCCCTTTGAACATGTATTCGCTTTTTTTGCAGGGGCTGCCTATATCTACAGTATTTGACAGACGGCAGATTATATCGTTAGGTCTGGGAACCAGATCAGTGTCTGTATACAGTTAGATTTGGCTGCGTCCGAAAGAAAAATGGGGCTGGAGCTTAAAATAACTCGTAGCCTACCGGTATCCAGCCACTTTTATCGCACATAGTTAATTTTCCAACCGCAGCCAACCGAATCGGTAAAAGTCATGCAAGTGTCTCGAACATCATATCACATACTTACTGCCTGATTCAAAAAAATGCGCGCAGGCCTTTACCTGTCGTTAGAATTGTGGATGTAAAAGGCGTATTGGGCATAGTAGGCTCCAGAGCCCCAGTCCACCAAGTCGACGCGGAGAGTCCTCGTGGTGTAGGCCAGACGATAGAGCTTGTCGAGCCCTAACCAAAACTCACCACTGAGGGAGCCAAACCCATTGACGTAGTCGCTCCAAGAGCGGTAGAAATCCTGTATAGGACAGGGGGAAATGGCATCATCGGTCCTCGAAAGGTGCCTGGGTGCAGGAGCATTCTGCTTTTTCAGTATTTGCCGGTGTACACTGAACACATACTATGCATTGGCTATAGTCAGAGTGACAAGAACTGATCGTCAGCAGCTCACCCACAAAGTTCTGTATTTTGTCATAACAAGATATTCGTCGACTCGTAGTGCCATAAGACAAGATTATCACGCTGTTCATTTCTATACAACTCGCCACCGGATACGTCATTGTTCTTTGCATGCACGATCTTTCCGAAAAATACGTTAGACCTAAATATACCTAAAAATGCTCTCCACAACTAAATGCTCAATTTGCATTATATGAGCAAGCCCAGCCGACCAATCAAGCAAGCAAGCAAACACTACTTTAAAGACCACAGTGTGAATACCTACCACAGAGCCGTCCCAGCGTCGCTGAAATACGGCCCAGCCTCCTCCGTCTGTGGTCATGTCGCAGTAGACATCGAAGGCCGCTCCGCTGTCCGGCTTAACCTGGAGCACGCCGCTGGTGGCGTGGCCGCTGTTACGGTAGGCGTTGCAGGACGACGCAATCCCATCGTACGACGTTGCTGCGTGAAGACAGGCGAAGAACAACACATTTTACCCATCAGTAATAGTTGGAAAAAAGTAGAAAACTGAAGGCAAAGAGAAGAGCATCAAAAGACATTCAGCTGAATTCATTCAAGTCGAATCTGCAGTTATTGCTCCTCATGTAGTTATCCTCTTTCTGCCTGACAAGGATCGAAGATGGGGCAGACTATCACAGGACATGGGTAATCAGGCCAAAATTAGGAGGATTCTGGCCAAAAGTGAACTCTTGTTGGAAGCAATCATGTTTCTTCAGAACTTACATAGAGTGCACTGTTCTCCAGCGAAGCCAGAGGCACACTCGCATCGGAACCAGGGCGGGTGGCAGAACTCGGTGCATGAGCCCGAGTTGTAGCACACGTCAGTATCGGAGCAAGTGAAGGCGGGAGTATCCTGGAACGCACAGTGAAAACAAAAATACTCTAGTTTTTGACACTCGTTTCCCAAGCAGCATTCCAGGTGTTGACTTGTGTTAGGCCTTTGGAGTGTGTGTATTGTGTTTAATTTGGGATTTCAACCACCCCTTCGATAACATATGACTTATTAATCATAGTAAAATCTTACCTGCCAATGACCGTTGGAAGGGGGGTCGTAGTAATCAAAATCTGTGTCTTCCACCAGGTCGTTTGGGTCAGTGGATCTAGTCGCCCCGTTCACCTGACAGATGCCCAGCCGCTCGGCGAAGTTCATGGACTGGCAGCTTGTGCCCTGCCGTAGGCAGAAGCTCAAGCACTCGGCTGAGGACCGCACCCCGGTGATGTTGCGGACAAGGTGGCCGACCAGGCGTTGGCCCTGATCGGCCGCTTCCCGGGACATGTACGACCAGTCCGAGGTGCACGAAGAAGCGATGCTCGTTCGCACTAACGCGAAGAAACAAGCTCCGCAAAACGCGATCGAAATGGCGAACCACTTCGACATGCTTGATGACACACAAACAGCAAACTCAGGCCAACTTGATCTTTAGCTAGTCTCTCACAAAGTCGACCCCTGGAACTACGGGGTGCTTGCTGTTCCCTTTATAACTACTGCTGGCGACTACAAACCTCTCTTGGGTGTTGCGGTAGAGACAAATCGATACCACTTTCTTTTGTCGGTGACTTTATTGGGCATCGCTCTAGTGCCAATTGACAACATGGTAAACAAGGATAGGCACAAAGAAGACCGATGGATCAAACGTAATCGAAAGAGAGGGGTGGGAACTAACCAAGGATATCGATTGACTGTACTTAGACTGGTATCCGCATATAGTTCAGCTACATAATATGGTCTCCATGCAAACAAAGTCCAACATCATGTGCCTGCCTCTTTAAAACAACTCAAACTGCGTTCTTACACGAAAAGATTGCCGAACTGTATGTTTATTATCACTAAAAACTTTTGTTACTGCCAAATGACCATTTTTGTCATCTCTTTTAATGTGCATTACACGTAGCATGACATTCTAGCGTTCAGCATATTGACCAAGTGTGTGCCACATCTGGGCTGTGGGACATCGGTCTTCGCCAAAACCCTGACGGAACTGGGGCGGCATGTGATTCCATTAATGAATATTAATATGATCAAAGAGATGACTGGACTTCAATGGTCCAAATGGTGACTGTTGCAGCTTGCATTAAAATATACCTGATGGTCTCGAGCAAGCACGGATCCGGGACTAAAATTTAGTTTGTAAGCTTTTAGGACCTTTCTTAGGGTTGAAGCTCCTTTTTGGAGCTTTTTACACCCTTTGGGAAGGAAGGAAAGGAAATAGAATTTTCAAAACCTCTCTTTTACTTTTAGTTTTAAAACTGTTCAATGCTTTTTTGGGGGGGCGGCCCACGCCTCCAACCTTGGTCTGGAACTTTTTGTGATGCCTGACAAATTAACCAGTCAGGGGCCTGTGAAAAACTTGAGGACCTAAAAATCTGCCGAACTACACCAACGCCCACATATATAGACAAGATAAGATTTCATAGTTTTAGCATCCCTTTCTCTTGATATATGAGTTTGGGAAAGGTTTGAACGAATTACTAAATAGCTCAAGTCATCGTAGCATGAAGTAAAAGGCTCCAGTGCTTACCAGTTTTAACGCAATGAAGTTGGCGCTAATGCTTAAGACGGAGTTGGGCTTATGGAGCCCAGCGGTTTTTACTGCTTACCAAACGCTATTTATCCAGACATGTTTGGAGTCATTGCCACTGATCTCTTCTCAAAGTTTGGCTTAGACTGCTGTTCTATCCTTGAACCTTTAAAAAGAATCTAAAAATCTGGCAGGGAAACCAAGCCACTAGTAAACTTAAAACAACCATGGGTGCGTTTAGGCGGTCAACTCGTGTCCGAGAATCAGCTACAGTCTTTTTCTTAGAGGTTAATTTCTTTAATCTGTTATATTGGACAAAAAGGCTCCACTACTCAAATCCCCCAAACAAGTAACTAAAAGAGAAACAACAATCCAATTTATAACCGCCTAAACGCACGCCAAATCTGATGACCTCAATACATGACGGGACGTCACAGCCAGTCTTGAGGGCGCTATAAAGTGAGCCCGTGACGGGGAGTTGGGTCGCCGTGATGACCAAGGCAAGTCGACTGTGTTGAGCAGCGCCATCAACAGAAATAGGAAGTAAACACTTTAATCAATGATCAGACTTCAAATCATAACGATTCAGTAATGTATATTAAAATCCCACAGTTTTCTCTGCCCCCTTGTTTGAAATTAAGTTCGGCACATGACAATTAAACACGGAGCTTTAATCTTCAGTTAAATGCTTGCAGACTTGTATGAACGGTTTCATACGAATTTGTTATAACTTTAAATAATTTTGTGCAGTGTTTTAAAAACGCACTCTCTATACTAAACTTTTAGGTTGAGTTAAAATGACTTTGCGGGGCTCAAGCTCTTTTTCTAGTATCACATACTAGCCAGAAAAATACATAAGCTGAACATGGACCAAAAGCACACAACGAAAAGAAAGAATCTCCTGACACTACATTATTATATTTTCCACTGCAGAATCATCTGATAAAGCTGGGTCATTGCCTTCTTCCGAGTTCTAATAGAGACGTCGAAATTTTGACATTCTCGAAAGTTCCCTCCCTCTTTATATTTCCATTTTTTCAATTGTAAACAAAAAAAGCCAAAAAACGAAGATGTAAATATGTTTAAAGTTAGTCTCCTAGAAACCAGGATATAGAAACGGGCTCATAGTTCCCATTGAAGCGATTTGCAGAAAATGTGCCGTGTCATTTCCTTTTCGTCAAATTCCAGTAACTGAGTTGAGTGCATAATACACGAAGTGACGTCAACAAAGGTGGGCCTCCTCTATTTTTATAGCATGGCATTCCAAATAAGGACACGCAACGCAGCGAACCATCCCCTGTGTTCACGTCGATTTCTTTCAAGAGCAGGGAGTGAAATCACAACTAGGTGGGTAGTTTCCACTCACGTGGACAGCTCGGGATATTTTGAATACTTCTTACACCAACAGAAACAGCGAACACATTCCAAATACAGTGATCCGAACACTGTTTCTCAACGATTGCAAAGTATTAGTCACGATATCGTAGCATGCATGCAACTATGAGTATGGCATCGTGGAATATCCCCGTTGGAGAAAATTGGTGAACTCTTCGTTGCCAGTTTCTAAATCAAGTTGATTGATTTTCAGCTTCTCTGGTTTGATTCTTAATCTCCATCCTTATGTGTGGCATCTAATTCATGTGTTCCTGTGGGCTCGTTGATCGCAACTTGAGTTTTAACCCTAACAGAGCGGGGGGGGGGCGAATCCGCTCCTTCAACATTTTGCCCTATATCGCTACATTTTTTAAGGAGTTGAGACCTTAGGAATTTTTAAAAGTAACTCATTGCGGTCACTTTGACACAATTTTTGCAAAAAACGAATATACTATTCTCGCACAGCTTGCATTTTTTCGTGACAGATCAGCCCCAAATGCATACTTTTCCCCTGAGGTTCTCAAAGTACGCGTACTGACGGGCACGCCTGTAGCCATGAGCTTCAAATGACCATAACAACAAAACCATGTGGGACTGAGTGCAAACTTCACGTTTGTAATGGTATTAAGGAGTGTCTGTATATGCATGTTAAGTTTCAAAAAAGTTTTCGGGCGTGGCACAGCCGAGTTCTTGGGAGGGGGCGCCACCCCCGGCTGTGAGATGGGTCAAAATATGGTAACCCGCCTCTTTTGAGAGTGTGGTGCCACCATTGATCTGCACTTATACACGCCACCGTATTGCATGTAATGGCGTCTCCAAGGATTGGTCCAAAGACCTGTTGTTTTGCTGCAGCTGCCATATTTCTACCCGTCAGTATAACAAAAGAAAAGAACATTTAAAACCTCACTCAGCTAATAGGCCAACTGACTGCCAGACGCTAAATGCAGATACCTGCAGAACACAAACGGAACAAAATAAGCACAAAGGTGGGCAGCTTAGCGAGAGCTTTCTTCCAACTTTTGGTCGCCCATGCAAATGGCGGGCCCCCCAATGTTTGTAAAAAAAACAAATTCTGTAGGATATGTGCTCATTAAACTTCTTCACCAAGCTAAAGTAATGCCAAAGAAAACAGTCGACAGCGTACAGAGAGTAATTGGCACTTGCTTCACACGTTGATAAAAGGCCATGAAGTCGCCTGCAAACAATTGCTACAAAGAACAACCCTGAGAAAAACAAATTTACGGAGACCGAGAGTCTGGAATATCTTGCAAAGAAAATAAATGCGGGAAAACACTTCACCACTGCAACGCCCGAACGATTCAAAAATATTTATTCTAAATCATAAAAAAGTCTTGTCAGTATGTTATTCTGTATTCAGAAATACCCGAGTTTAGCTATATTCCTGTGGATCGAGAACCATTCACGTGGATAGTTTTTAGTATGATAACAAGCACCAACTGGTTCTGAACACTTTCCCGGTTTCATGCGAACATTCTGCTCTCATTTTATGATCTGAAATCCACGTACATGACATTGTAGATCGTCATTTGGGCATGCCCAATTCGATCAATGTCTCCACGTTTCTGAGAATCCGAATTTCGCTCAACTGAGGGAATGGCAACGATAAAGGACCCACTGTCTTCCCCACGGTTTGCGTTTGTCTGCGTTGTCGGCGACATCTCCGTAAGACATGTTTCCACCTGCGTCGCAGTTTGCGTCTTGATTGCGTTGCTCTCTACGTTTCTTACGTCGAGTTGGAAACCAGGCTTAACTCTAAAGCTCGTCAAGGCTCAGCTCCCCCCCCCAAAAAAAAATGCGCAGCGGCAGTATCGAAAAAAATGCAGAGGGGGCAGAGTCTGTCCCCCGGCTCTTTAGGGTTAAAACCGCCCAATCACGCATGTATTCCCTTATTTGAGTTTGGACCGTCAAACAAGCATAACAATCTTCGACTCCACTTTGTGCCCAAACCCAGCGACGACACGTACTAATACTAAGCAAGTCATTCCTTGACGTCACCGTCTATTGAATCCAAACATTGAAGTTAGAGGTCACCCCCTTTTTTGTTACTTGGGAGTGGAGAAGTTTTACATCGGTTGCCAACCATTCTGATGCAAATTGATTTTGAGAAAAGAACATTTTGACTGGATCCAGTGGCTCGTTTGTTGCTGTTGCAGCATCAAGTCTGGACAAAAGCAGGTCTGCCTGGTACCGAGCTGCACTTGGCAGTAAACAGTGCTGTGGGCGTCCTCGTCCCCTAACACGGTTGGATGCATACCAACAGGTGTTTGTTGCTTTGGATTCGGCAGGAGTTGTACTTTGAATTTCCTTCACTGCGATTGATATATCGACAGCATGCCATGTCACACTGAGACGGTTTAATTGCAGAAGTAACCCCTTCTCTCTCTGAGTACAGTTTACATAGCTATACTTCCAGTCGTCTTTTAGTACTGTTTACGAGGTACATGGGTGTTTCACATTGAAAACATGTAGGCCTATGTAAAAAATCATTGACATCCTGGCTTTTCGGCATCGCGCACCCGACTCGCTGACGTAAGTGGAAAACCAAATCCCACCCTGCACGTTTTCATCTGTAACTATTTCATTGAAATCAGTTTGTGACAAACCGAACTCTGGAGAGGGAAACTTCTATCCTCGGGTGACAGAGATTCCTTGTCGAGGTTTCATTGCATAATAAGGATACATCGCTGAACTCGTCGAGTGTGTGCGATCTGAGATGACGATGCTGTCCGGGACTTTTCTGACGGGGTTATCGGTGCTGTTAGCGGCCGTGGGCGGCGCGAAGGCTTCGTCTCGCGACAGACACGGACATGACTGGAGCTTCGGTAATTAAATTTTAACAGGAAGTATATCACACACTGCAAAAAAAAATGCGATATCAAATTCAAAAAGGCTCCTCATAAGATTTTTGGTTGAGGCTTGCTAAACAAAAGTACATGTGGATGCCAGTGGCTAAAGCGACTATAGCCACTTCCTATAGACGAATGTGTTAGTTGATTCGCACATAGCCAAATTAACACCGTGATATGGTGTATTTAGTAACATTGGTGTTAGAGGTGTAACTAACACCTGCAGTTGATAATTAATCACGGCAGTTTGTGTACTGTATGAGGAAGCCTCATCAGTGAAACTCTGTTTGAATCATGGCATACGTTCTCTGAATGGTATCTCAACGTTTGCAAGTTTGGGACCAGTTTACTGGAAATAATGTTGATATAAAAATGGATCACTTAGATTCCACCTTGTTCTGGGAAAAGGCGTTTAGATCTCTCGAGATTTTCTTGGGCATCATGGCCTCGGACTCCCACAGTGGGGGTATTGTCTGCACACGATGATCTATGCAGACAACCCACCACCCCCTTGTGTTTAAGGTGATTTATTTGGAAATTAAACGACCCAGGAAAAAGGCACTGTATAGCACTGTCTGTGTGACAGCATGTAGCATCATCAGAGTGGTAACCAAATCGTGTTATTAATCCATCTTTTGTTCATTTTTCAGAATGTTCGGATGGTGATATTTGCTACAACGGCGGGACATGCTCGTTTAAGGTCTACAACATCACGGTATGCGAATGTCCGGAGCCATACTTCGGGTGGCAGTGCGGTGAGGACTATATCTATTTTAATTAATAAGTGACGCTAGTGCTAAAAATGTCACATCCAGTAATGTTTTGGTAAACTGCAGCAATTATGGGCTCCGAGCTGGACCAAGAGAGGGCGCAATTTTCCTAGCAACAGAGGCTCCTTTGGTAGTAACTGTGCAAAGCTAGCCCACGAACGACTATGAAACGTAAGCCTTGCAGACGCACCACTACCAACAAAATGAACACTCCCGACCAACTTAGCTCTTTTCAACCGATGAGGGGGTACTTCTGTTCAGGGCGGATTCACGCAAAGCTCCGACTCCGACTAAACTTCACTATGACATGTGCGTTTGAAGCCTGACACTTCACGTATTGTTGAAACATACATTAACTGACTTCACCTGTCACTGCTTACCACTTATATGAGTGGCCGAAGTTTGCGATAGTTTTAACCTTGGTTAGTTGCAGGTTTTGAGGGAAGTGTTTTTTATGATAGTTGTGCGATGAGATTTGTTAAAACTTGGTGAATTCATTTCCCACTGTACTAACGGAAAGCCAAACGTAGTTATGAAACAATTGGCAGACAAAAGCTGTAAAATACTGTGAGCAGAGCTGAAAAGTGAGCTCCTCAAACAGCTCTGACTGTGACGTATATAGGACGAAAAGTCTCTAGTTGCTGCCCACGTGCTTTGTACGCGGGATCAATAAATAGGTCAGTTATGTTCACCTAACATTCCCATTGTTAATCCAGATTCGAAGCCATGTTGAGTTTCCCATTTTTGGTGGTGGCTTTTATATATCATTTCGCAGAGGTTCGTACTATTGGACTGTATTTTTCTCAATCTGTCATTTCTGTTCGGTTAGGTTCATTATGGTTAGATTCCATTTTTCTTGGTCTGGTATAGGACTCCGTATGGATTATTGGGGAACGATTCACAGTTATTCTGATGAGCGTCCTTTTTGTTAAGGTCTCTGTTACGTTCCGCTTGTTTACTTTGTTTAGACGCCTCATGTATTTTACTTGCCTCCTGTGGACAGAATATTACGATGCCTGTCACGACGACCCTTGCCAGAATGGTGGGATATGCGACTATGACTATTTCACCAATGGCTACTACTGCGCATGCCAGGAAGGTTGGACAGGGCAAAACTGCCAAATAGGTAAAAATCAGAGGGGTGGTTCAACTTGTTCCCCGCCCAAGAGCATATGCACTCGATAATTAGACAACCTGAAAAAAAAATATTCATTGTAGCTGAACACTTGGAATAGGCCCCAGTGTTCAATTTAATGAAAAGGTCATTTCTCAGCCACTGGCAAATGGAAATCAAAACGAGCCGTTCAAGTTTTCGCTCTCGGTGACGTCTATAACTGAGCTGGACTGTGAAGCAACCAGATATTGTTTAAGACCCATGCACTGTGATATGCGGTCAGAACTCTGACCAATGAAACTGTCCCACCAATTTCATTTCATGCATCAGGACAAAGACAACAGGCATAAAACAGGACATGGAAAATTACAAAATACACAGTACACACTGGCAACACCCCTGAGGGATTGTCAAGAAGCGAACTTAATCACTCTCATGCGGCTCTCCTGAGATGCTATCAGAAAAAGAAAATTCAAAACATTATGGGCATTAACGGAAATAAACACTGATTATCAGCTGCTTATAAAATAATTACATGTAATATCAAAAAAATACAAATAACTAATACAGGTATAAATAGTAAACCTATTCCTCATTCAGTAATAGGATACATGTACACTGCGCTAATTACACAAAAATTTACAAATTAATTACAATAAAATTCTAATAATAATAAAATTATCAAAAAAACCCTAAATACTTACACGCGTAAAACCTCCATAGGTCAAATTCGGATGATGAAAAATTCAAGCCCCAATAGCGTGTATTAATGACTAAAATTTGATTCACTTCATTTTGTGCAGCTTCGCATACAACCAGTTGTGCGGATATTCGTTGTGAGCATGGCGGAACGTGCTTTCATTACAACACCAGCTTCTTCTGCTTTTGTCGGAGGCGGTATTTCGGATATTTCTGTGGTAAGAACGTAGTAACGCGATTCGGTTTGTCAGCTTTGTTAATCACGGGAGGAAGAACAGTTGCATAGCATGCATTATTTGTACCTCAAAGAAAGACTCTAGTTTCTTGCTATTTCCGCTTTGTTTTTGTACCTTTTTTACAATTTTCTTTTCAAAAGTAAAGTGTTTTGAGGAAATCTGTTCCAAACGATGAGCTGAATGATGTGGGCTCACTTTGAGTTTAAGGGATTGAAATAATTTTCGTTCGTGATTTTGTTGGGGATTAAAAACCCCATGATTCCACTACTGCAGAAGTTCTCGATGACCACCTCTGTGATGCTGAGACTGCACCGTGTGCTAACGGGGGGACGTGTCGTGACGACTCACATGGAATAAAGTATTGCGACTGCACTGAAGGGTGGGCTGGAGACAACTGTACACTGCGTGAGTGTTGTATATTCAGTAATGCCTTTAGCCCTTGAAGGTGTAGGAATGATAATTAATTGAAATTGGAGAATTGAGGACTGTTAGGGTTAATTAAAGATCCAGGAACCCAACATCATTTTAACAGCGAAAATACCACTGTGACAGTGTACAAAAACATGAGATATTTGACAATTTTATATTCTTTCTTTTGTTTTCGGAAAGATCCAAACTAGCTACAGTACAGCTTAGTAGGCCTACATAGAGCTTAGTATTAACCTGATACACAAGGATCCAAAGCTAGGAAGTTGGTTTTTGTACATGAGTGTGGGCAAAAGAAGGCCCTTGGAACAATGGTGACTAGGGCCTACATGACACTTAATTCGGCACTGAACAGCAGTGACGAACGGAGGAGCCTTCATTTTCTGCTGTTTCTTTTAAATAGAACCTATAAATTACTCTAATTCTAAATTGACCTTTTGTGAGCATGTCCCGGTTTCAAATACAATTCTGCTCAGTCTCCAGTGCTCAAGTTGTAACTTTGCAATTTTCCATCCCTTATGAGTTATCATCGAAATGCATTATTCATTTTTATGATGTTAATATTGTCATTTGATTGATTGAAAAGTTTCTGGGCTATTTTTGCTTTAATGTTAATTTGTTTGGTTATCAATATGTATAAATGACAAACGCGAAGTAAGGAGATACTTTGGAATCTAAATTTTCAGCTGCTCCCGTGGCATCCCTTTGCAATGGCTACTGCGAAAATGCGGGATCGTGCAACATCAGCGACGGGTACGAGCCAACCTGCCTGTGCGCCCCAGGATGGACCGGCGAACACTGTTCAGAGCCGCTCCCTCCGCCTCCAGGTATATAGGCCCCGGTTAGAAACCCCACACAAGTCGATGGTACATGCATGCCTTGAACGCTGGAGGATTCTGGGGTAACTGGGTGTGAGAGTATGCATAGATTGGATTGGGATATGGACCAAACTCTGGGGCGATGGGTAATGAAACAATTCTAAAATTGCCTGGCCGGGGAAATTTGAAAAGCGGGGTGGGTGTGGGGGTGGCCAGCAGCACACTCATGCATGGAACTGGAGCAATCGCACTATACCGTACGTGCTACGGATTCAACTTACGAAATTCAACTTTCAAATTACATTGCTTGGACTAGATTACACACTTACACAAAGTCTTTGGTATTATTTTCACTCCATATGCTATTTGATATTTCATACACACGTAGATTCACCCAGTAAAATTGCAGGGTACTTCTCTAGTCGTTAGTTCCTTAAAACGAGTAGTAATTACATGGAAATGTCATACGTTTGGAATAATTGGTGGTTTCATCTTGGTATTACATGTAATCATTACACGTAATTTCACTTGGCTGTTTTTTTGCCTGACCGATTCGAATCAGCTTTGACAGATACTCCTACTACCGGGCAACCGTGTGATGTCCGCCCGAGTCCCTGTGGCGACAACGGCCGTTGTGTCCCTGACGAAGTCTTCGGAGGATTTACCTGTCATTGCTACCCTGGTTGGCAGGGAGAACTATGCCGCGAACCTTCCCAAGGTAAGTTAATTATATATTCTCGGTTGTGCAAGGACTCCACGCTCCTCTTTAATGACATTTTAAAAAATTGCAAAGCAACTCTTACTTGGTGCTACGACAGTTTCCTTGCATAGTCCTTGTTTTACATAATACAGATGTATCAGGCGTAACGCCCTGGCTTTGTTCGATTCCATTAATCCTCAATTCTGAACATAATCTCGGATACGTTCTTAGCCACGTGGCCAGATACGGTGCCAACCTCCACACGGCCGACAACTATCTGTGACATCGGTGAGAACTTGTGCGGTGACAATGGGCGGTGCGTCCCTGACTACAGCCGTTACAGTGGATACAGATGCGTGTGCACCACAGGATGGCAAGGGGTCTACTGCACAGATTCGGGTAGGTTTCGTACTAATCGAATTGTGGGAGATGGTGGTGAGCTTGAAAAACGTGGAGCACTCTCGTGTTGCCTTCTCAGTACGTGTCAGTGGCAAAAATATCACCCCTTGGTTGGTGTCCGAGCTTTTTTTCTAAACATGCACTTATTTAAAAGAGAATCCTTTCAGCTGGTAATTATGTTTATGTTGGTGTTTCGACTGCTGAGTGAGTATTCAACACCTTTAGTGAATTATTGTTTTGTTTTGGTACGGACGGCCAACCACTGCCAGCCTCTGCCAGGTGATAATGCGACCCGATTGCCTGCTAATTAAGGACGGTCATCACTTTTACAAACTCTCCCAAATAAGAAATTGTTTTTGCTCGACACGATTAATATCTTGCAAATGGTTGAAATATAAACCGAAGACTGATCGTTTGTGCATGTCTTTTTCTGCAGTATTAGATTCCAGAGAGGACGCTCCACAATCGTCCAGCCCGATTGGTAAGACCATAAATACATATATGCAGAGTTCTAGAAAATCTAGAAAAAATACAACCAAATCGTCTTCTGGAGGCACAACGGTCATACATCTCTGTCATTCTAGTGTATAGTTGCATTGCAACCTCTGTAAAATAATTCATCTCTGTAAAAAAAAATAACGAGTATAAGGAGTGTGCTTCTGTTCTTCTAAAAGCCCTGGGGATGAGGTTCAGGGAAACCATGGTGGTACTTTCGCTAAACGACACACAGAAAGGAGTCCAACAAAGACTTTTCTTAGAGTCAAAGAATGCACGCATCAGCGCTATAACAGCCTAACAACCGCTCTGTGGTAACTATGAGTAATACATTATTTGATTTACAAGACATGCTCATTAAGGTGGAACTCTGTTTGGTTCCTTGACTCTTCTCCAGGTGGAATAGTTGGTGCATCGGTCGGCAGTCTGGTTCTATTCTTTGTGATATTTGGCGCCGTCTTCGTCTTCAACCTTGCGAGAACCAGGTAAGTTCACTGAAATTGCTGGAATATACACACTCTTACTTTGTATTCACAAGGACAACATCAGTCTGGTGGACCCATCCCTGAAACGACAGAACCGGTTTTATGAATAAGTATTACACACAAAAAAGTTAGCTACCATACACAAACTAAAAACTAAAAAAGTTTCAGCAAATTGTATTCAGAAATGGTTTCAGTTGTCGTAACGAGAAACGAAAGTCACATCGAAATTAAATTTGTCTACCACTGAAATGTTTTGAGTGATTGTATTTTTTCCTCTGTGTAGCAAAAATCGGCGGGCCAGGCCTGCTTTGTCAGCACCGGCTCCTCTTCCCTCAGTCATCTATGACCCAGGAGTCCACGATGATTTCTGCGGCCGGGCTTCACTGATACAGCCCAAGCCAAGCAAAGACGTATACAGCGACTCCGACCGGTACCAGCAAGCGCTGATGGCTCGCCGCTATAATCCTGCACCGGTCCGTGACCACCCTCACCAGGGGATGCCGAGCTCGTCCAGCGTGGTCCGGAACCCGGCTGCGGGTGCGCACAGCTACGACTACGCCTACGAACCGGGCCCATCTCGGTCAAGAATAGAGTCACCGCTGCGTGCCCCTATCCCGATGTCGGAGATCGAACGGGGCCACGAGTACGCCTACGTGATGGACGACAACTTGTACGAAGCGTCTCCGAGGAGTCATTTGGGGTATGCGAAAAACTCGAAATCGGTCCCACCGACCGTGACGACTGCCCCTCCGGCCTACTCACGGTCACCGTCTCGTGCTCCGTCTAAGGCGCCATCTGAGCACACTTATCAGTCCATATCCGAGTACAACGACCCGCCGAGCAGCCCAGCTTCTAAGGGCGGTCCCGCGCCGTCAGTGAAGTCAGTTGGCTCGCATCATTCGTCCAAGAAATAGGCTCAGTGTGCTTCTTTCCGAATCCCACTTTGCCGAAATAATCCCGGCCACTCTAGTATGATTGCTGAAAACTGTATTCAAGATGTGAATCTAGGAATTGTATACAAACGACTGTCATACGGTAAATTAAAGTCCTAGGCCTATGCCATTTCCACAAAAAATCCACTAGATGAGTTAGCATACTCATATACTCAAACGAATTTAGATGGCAAACCGTAGATACAGGTAAAACAGAAGGTTTTGAACCGTAAATATTCTCAGTGAAAATGTAAGTTTGTTTCTAGTTCTGCAGCTGTTTGTCCCAAATGACACTTCTTTTCAGAACTGGTTTTGAAGTACTTCATGAGAGCGGTTGGTGAGATGACAAAACTGAACCTTAAGCTTGTTGATAGTTGACTTTATTCTTTTAACCTTCAATTACGAAAAATAGATCGTACATTCTAGTGTATTTAGACTGGGCACAACGTTTGAATATAGTCAATCCTTGTACGACCTCTCTTTGTATTATGTACAGTATATTAAGTGTCTGGTAGTTTTATGAACTGGTAACTTTTGAAATTCTGTAATTAATTAACAAATAAAATAACTCATTTGTGTATATGTACATTTGACGTCAATGCAGCTGGTCTGCCATTTACATTACATAACAATTGTTGCCTTTTTACGGGGTGGGAATTTTCATTTCTTTTGCAAAGAATAATTATTTAATTAGGTATTTTGTGCCTTTATTTCTCGGTGGAGTACATTCCTTTCCAAAGTATGGAGTGAAATTAAAATAAATTTCATTCACAAGACGTAGAACAATTCTGTTGATTACTTGGGGTAAAAATGAAACTTGGGCTGATCCGAAATCGGCGGGTGAATGTCTTGCTCAGAGTAGACGAGAACTTTGACCAGTGGGAAAACTAAAATTCATTTTAAGAAATTAACAACTTTTTGTCTAAAATAACATACTTAAACGAGACGTAGTATTTGAGATAGAAGTATGGCAGCATTACATGAGAGTAATGAGCTCACACCGTAACTATAACCGTTCACACGCACACAGGCTCCGGAACCTTTTGGGGGACGGAGGGTTGGGGTATTTTACGGGGGCAAAACAGGTTTTGAAATGCTTTCTTCAACCTGTTGACCTCAGTGAGGGGCTGAGACTAGATGCTGGTGCTTTTTAAACACTTTTGGAAGGAAATGAAACAGTCCCCTGGGCAAATCGTCATTCGTTATTTTCATTTTTTCGAATGCAAAATAGATTGCCAAGGGGACGGGCATGCATGTCCGCCACCTGGCTCACTTAATACAGACAGCCCAACCAACTCGCAAACAAACCGGAATTTCAGGAACAAATTCACTCGGTCTCGTGTTGAAATTACGCCCAGTAATTGAATCCTCGTAACGGTTTGCCTTAACTCTAAAAAGAGGCGTGTTATTTTGGCCCATCTCACAGTCTGGGCGGATTCCGCTCCCAAGAACTCGGCTGTGCCATTCTCAATTTTCTTTTAAACTAGGCATGCTTGTAAAGTAGCTCCTCATCATTACAGTTGTGAAGTTTGATATCAATCAAAGTTATGGTTTTGTTGTTATAGTCATTTTAAAGTTCATAACTTCACAACTTTAAACTTGGCTGGCTTAAAAGAAAAATAATAGCATTCAAATACCTCGAAGTCTGCTTATTTAAATGTCAAATAGGTTAAAAATGTGTTTCAAGTAACAAGCTTGAGCATTCAAAATCTCTAAGGTTAGATTTTATTTTTTTCTGACAAAATGCATATTGAAATGTCTTCCTTTGATTGTTATAACCAGGATGTTTATTTTATTACTCAGCGGTACATTTTGTGACTTTGGTTATAGCCAATATGATGTTAAAGACTGTTAATGTGGCAGACTGATTTTTGTGTTTTCCCTGCCTTCGTCATTAGAACTTGTATAGGTAGTGATATTAACGATAAAATTACGCCGCAAAATTCAAGGGTTTTCCCAAATAATGGTTTGTTAAATTATAGATCATTCCAATAAAATAATTTTATTCCAAAGGAATGTAACCAGGGTGATCCCCGTTGCAATGTTCGGGCTTACGGGGTCACAGCTTGGTGGTCCCCACGGGAACAATAAATCATGATCCGTAGACCCACCTAATGGATGGAGCGAACCAGTTTTGGGATTGATCAAGATACCTACCCCGCTTGAAACAAACAGGCCCTTAGAACATGCACAACTTAGCCCCGTTGAAAAACTTCTCACCAGCCTGTCTCTCCTTACCGTTGAGGGTGCACTTCAACTCCGATCTAATAGAAATTTTGGCCCGAGCGACATTTATAAGCAAGTTTGCGTTCGCTGCGCGCAGCAATGCAGTCTCACTTTGACTTTGCAACGTTGTCCTCACTAGGTAAATCCTTGTTCTAAACGAAGGATTTCCAGAATTCTTATAAAAACTAGGCTTGAGTTTTCTTTTAGAAAACATATAAATAAAATCTGTCTGGTGTTGTCAACAATGCATTTTGAAATTGTGGTCTCTGACTCATGAATATTCATTTTACCGACTGCGACCTGACAGTGTTGTGGTTCTGCTTGGAGTCTTTCGTATTGATTGTAGTCAATCAGAACCTATATCGTGTCTGAAATTATGCTCATATTTCGCCTTGGAACGGATGGTTGATTGTGTGGAAAATTATCAGGAAATAATTTATATTTTTAAGTATTTTTGAGATACTGTAAAACGGTACCTGCATTTTTTGCATTGTTGGGTTTGCTAGAATGCAAACGTTAACTCCGAATTAAGGAATGTGTTTATCACGTGCGAAAGCGATGGCATTTTTCTAAAATCATGGTAAACGCATGAGCTAATACGGAGGCAAGTTATCATATACGTCATATCAACATAACCGTCATGTGGTGATTTATTTTATCAGAGAAATTGTGTCCTTTACTATGCACCCCTAGGCCTATAGGTCATGTGAACAGAATGCATTTGTGGCAGGTGCATAGGAAGAAACTGTGTGTTGCTGGTCGATTGCTGTGAATGAGATTGGATCGATGTCTGTCCCCTGGTAAAGGAAACAGCAAACCATGAAAACATCTCTCTGCCAGCATAGGCCTACATGAAACTTAATCTAATTTGAAAACAGCCATAAACGTCTGAAGTCGAACATCTTTAAAAGGTGAGACTGAATTTTCAAAGCGACGTATAAAAATATCCCAAAACTACCAATGACATTAAAAGTCGGATATGTACAGGCTAAGTAAATATTCCAACGTGTGATTTTTTTCACATTACGCCCCAACTTGTGGCGAGTTTATTCGAGCACCCTAACCTACGCAACCGCACAAGCTGCTCCATCGTGCACTTTCCACCGCACCACGGTCATGAAATGCTTGAGCAGTGCATCCAGCCGTTACTTGAGAATCTTTGTGATATTTTCGGCCCCCATTTTCATTTAAAAGAAAGAATAATAGTGCGATCTTGTACCCGGTACCTATTGACGTCACCTATTGGGTTTCTTTGGGGACACTAGTTGAATCGTGACAGTACAGTTTCGGTGAACGACACGGCGTACACCAGCAGTAACAAGGACAGTTGCCTCTTGCTGGGTGGGTAGAGAAAGCAGACAGACAGACTTGTTGGCCTGCAGTACAGACAGTGATTGCCAGTCGTTTAAAATTTGTCAGCAAACAGCGTGAAGCCGGAGAATTTTAAAGCTTAGACCTAATATCACAAAGTGAGGGGAAAGAGAGGCGATATCGAGGACCATGAAGTTTTCAGCGGATGGAATGCCGCGCGGGTTGGGAGTAGCCATGGTGTTGCTTGTCGTCCTTCTCGGTCAGCAGTGGCACCCGGTGAACTGCCAGAACACGTTCCCTCCAGATTTGTGTAAGTACAGGACAGTGAAGGAATTCCAGTGAACTTTATGTCGTGATCGTTTCGTGAGCGGTCCCTTTAAGATTTTCATATTTGATTTTCATTATGAAACGAAAATCGGAAAATTCTTTTTTTCGTTGCTCAAGTTTGAAAATTAAACAAAAAAATGGATAAAACGAGTTGTTTCTCCCCTTTTCCGTTTGAAGACAAAACAAGTAGAAAAATAAGAATAAGTTCTTTCTCTTTCTGCACATTAAAAACAATAAACGAAAAACACGAGAGCAATTTCCATTAAAATTTACTTTAATCCGAATTTCAATTTACAGAACACGTAGATTGATGTAAGTTATTATTATTCTGGTTTATTTCCATTCGATTGCAACCCAAAAGATGTTTCCCTCCTATATCCATAATACATAAAGCGCGGCATAACCGTCTCCTTGAATAAAGCATGACGTCAACTCTTAGTCCCTTTTCGTTTGAGTTGCAACATACGCACGTCCATTAATTCCTGTAACCGTCAGCGTAATTTCTACAAAAGCGGAGATCAGTATGCCATACAAACCCCGAGAAAAAAATTAGGGACAGATCCAGAATTGTGAATATGCGATTTATCCACAAATTCAGTACTAACATTGTACTTCCTGAAATGGAAGTTGCTTTTAGAATGTGAGAATTTCTTCGTGGGTTGTTCCTTCCTTTACTTTGTTGGCCAAGAATTCTGTGTAATCATCTCAGTCATATTTGATTCTTGTAGTTAAGCGGGCTATAACCCTTGACGTTTCTAACATTACCAGATGAAAATATGGAACTAAAATTATTCGTTTTCACATTCAAAAGCGACAAACAACATGATGTCGTTTTTTTGTTCTTGAAATGAAAAATGAGAAACGAACTTGTCCTTTTTCGTTTTTTCTTTTTAAACGGAAAAATGAAAAACTTGTTTTTCCACGCTTTCCAAATTTAAAAATATAAACGACTTTTTCCTTTTTACTTTTTTGTTTTGTTTTGCTCTAAACACTTAAGACGAATGAACAAAATGCACACAGACCGTATGCGCTGACGTTTATTCATTGTTTTTTTATATGAAAATAACAACCGGAAGTCGATATATTTTTTCAATACAACAGGAAGTACATCGAGTCATTTCTCGTTTTTCCTTGAAATCGAAAAAGCGAAAAAAGGAAAACAACTCGTTTCTCGTTTTCATTTTTGAAAGGATAAAAAAAGGCGGAAAAGCGCTTCTGAATGATTTAATCAAATATTCTTTTCTTTTTTTGTACCCTACAAGTTCCGCTGCCCCACGTGTCTTTACCGTCTCCATCTTCGATGTGTCTGCCGGGCTACTGCGAGCACGGAGGCACCTGTTACGGCGTACACGAACACCCCGTCTGTGTCTGCTCTGGTCCCTACGTGGGCGAGCGTTGCGGTGAGTTTGGAGGTGTAATTCGACAACCAGAATTAGAAGCCATTACTGCGGTGGTGCAATGCTCGTGGAAAGGTGGTACGCGCGCGTTACATGCCTCTTCGACAAACAGGGTGTCGTGATTTGCCTAATGCACGCGCGCCACGTCAAGCTGAAGAATATGCGTGTGCGTGAGGTACCACGGCGGTTATGGCGTCTAATCGGATTAGTCTATAGACCGATTGCGCCCGCTAAGCCACGTGACCTTTAGTGGGTATTAAATATCATCAAACATCATGGAGTCCACCGAAAGCAAAGTGTTTAATGAATATCATTTATACCAAAAATAAAGCTGGCGGTATACCGTGCACAGACTACTGATGTGCTGCATGGGTGCTATAACGTAACTTGGCATATTTTTGTCACTCAAAACCACGATGCAATGGGGATGATACCCACTATATGTCATGTGATTTGCGCAATCGGTCGATTATCCTCGCCAAAATTAACGTTGAATTCGGGTATTTCGGTTGATGCATAAAGCTCATTAATCCCGGTTTGGGGATAAAAGTAGGGGGCTCAAGTTATTTAAGGGTCGCACAGAAAACCACGGCTTGGAATTTAGATTAAAAACATGTATTAACCCTAACACTCCTCAGTCCTCCAACAGGTGAAGGATTGAGGAGTGTTAGGGTTAAGACCTATTTATACGAAAGGAAAGCTTGAAGCTGAAAACAAAGAGGCCCTATGAATTAACTTAAATCAACTATGGAAGAGAGGGTCATGTCAGTTGCTGCATGGCGTTACCGGCATGTCTCCTCCTTGTCGTGCGGAGCGACAGCTTTGGCAGCTTTGAGTCCATTTCCGTCGAAATACTATTGAAAAAAAAGTGATTCGTTTGGACGCTCAAAATCTATACCGCTACCGGACTTTGGGAATATTTCTCTACTTTTCAAATAACATCTTTCAGTTGACTGTACTGAGTTGGGGAGCGATTAAGCGGTGCGTAACCGGTAAAATTGGCATTGAATACCGGTAACTTCCTTCCCCGAATGGTGCAAATTCAAGGACAATGCAAAGAATTCAGGCATTCAAATCATGACTGAGCACCCCTCGCTACAGTTCAGATCTGAATAAAATTCTCATTCGGGAAAAAAAAGGTTTATAACGTCACGTACCTATTCGCTGGCAGTCTGTGCAGGTTATAATAGGCCTGTACAGACGGAACGTGATATTTTAAGCCACAGTAGGGGTAGTGCGAGGTTGAACATTTCAGGGCCGACGACACACAATGAATCGAGACGGTATATGCCGACGTAACAATGCCAAATTCAGTAATTGCAAAACCGAACCTTGAGGCCAAAATATATCAGTGCATATATAACAGCGCAATTTAACGGCCCCCTACTTTTCCAAAGCAGCCCTTCCAAGCTTTTTGCTGAAAAACTTGCTTGCAACTTAAGATAGGTCCTATAGAAAATAAATTGATATTATTCAGATTTAAACGCAGTATTCGTATATACCGTATTTCTTCTAGTAGTATAATCTGGAAATCCGAAAGGACATGAGTGCAAAGTGGGGAAAAGACTGAAGGTGTGCTATCATGCGAGTACATTATCACAAAGAAACCATTTGAAAGTTGACAATTTCTGGTTACGTTTGTAGCCTACTCACTGAATAAATTTGTCTACAGCAAGAATTTTAATATCTTGTAATGGAACAGCGTATTTAAAGGGTTATTGACTACTTTGACTTTGAATCGGGAAATGATCTTGCCGAATCAACCTTTGCTGAAAAAATATGAGTGTCGTAAAAGTCAATATCAGAGAGGAGGAATATTCTTGCCTCACTTCCGCGACCTATATTTTAGGAGTAAACACTGAGATAGTCGGTGATCCACTGATAATATTCAGATAACTCAATATTATGCAGACTCCATAAAGACTAATGAAAGCCATGTTTGATTCAATATTTCGTTCTTTATTCAGAACATCGATAGGAATGATGAAGATGTTCTGAATAAAGAACGAAATATTGAATCAAACATGGCTTTCATTAGTCTTTATGGAGTCTGCATAATATTGAGTTACTCTGAGATAGGCGTGTGTTAAATCTGGCGTCCGGACAAGCATTGTCGCTTCTGTCTCTGTCATTTCTCGTTTTTAAATTTAAGTTTACAGACTTTTAATTTTAAGAATCATGTATGCGGTATAATGTAGCCCCCCTGAACTATAGCATAAAAAAGAAAGCATAAACCTGGAGGAAAAAGCTCCAGCTAGTCACTGCCAGAGGGGGAAAGAGTATGCGTCAACGTCACGTGTCTGTGACGCCCCCTATAGACAATATTGGAAATACGAGAATGGCCTTTGGGTTGGTTTTTCAAAATTCGCGCCATTGCACGATGTTCTCAATCGCGATGATAGTGATTACTAGTACATGTATTTGGCATGGTTACACTTTAGAGCGAAGTGTTCAGAGTTTAAACCACCGTGGCCGTAATGTAAGTTAAAAAGGGTAGTAGGATAACGTTAGACCGTTTCTTAATTTAAAGTTAAGTTATGCACATTTCTCATAATGTTACATACAGTTACACCTACATGTACTAGTACTACATACACGTAGACCCGTAAACGGGGCCCGGCGAATACTTCGTCGTCGTGTACGACGGAGGAGTATTCGGATACTCCTCCAATACTCCTCAACGAATAGTTTTCCTTCGTGTACGACAGAGGAGTATTCGTTGGGCCCTGTTTACGGGTCTAAGTTACACCATAGCATAACCATGGAGGAACCGCCTAGCTCCAAGTTACACCTCCAGCTGGTGGTCTCCCTGACCGTCACCACACTGTACGTTATACAATTAGGCCTAGAGAGGGATGTAGCCTAATGTAGCCTGGTGTCCAACGTGGCCGGGCTACACTTACACTGTTGTCATGGTTGTGTGTAGGCCCGTATAACTTATAACGATGCCTTAAATTGCCTTGCACTTGCCATACATATACTCATAACTTGGAAACTAGTCATGCTAGTTTGTGAATCAAATTAAAGTTAAAAGCTTGTCTTCGAGCGCAGAGGAACTGAGATTTCCCGAGCTACTATTCTCACCATTTGTGACCCGCTCTGCAAAAAGGTGTACTATTAGGGGAAGCTGTGCAATGAAAAAGGCATAATGGCTCATTCCAGCCGAGGGTTAAAACATATGGAAACATTTTGAGGCCAATTGCTTGACCAGAAGCCTCTGTTGCTGAGGAAAACCAAGAGAGTCTCTCATGTAAGTTGAATATTTCTGTTTGTTATGTTTAAAGGGCATTATATCAAAATGCACCTGTCATAAGATGAAATTATATGATGAATATATATGCAAATGGCAACTCCAAAATGCAAAATGCCACTGGGAAGAATTATATATCAAATGAAAGCTTAGGATGTGAGCAATTTATTATATAGGCCTATAACTCAAATTCCAAAAAATGTGACATAATACACCTTTTTGCAGAGCGGGTTACATTTTTGAAAGGCAGTGCCAATTATGCCTTAAGCATTAATTATCGCTAATACCACAGGGGTGATTTGCACAATGGGGGAAGAAAAAAAGAGCAAACACTGCACTTTTTGTCCTTCCCACAATGCCTTTCTACCATTGTGCAAAATCACTCATGCAGTAGGTCTATTATCGCTAGGCCTACAGCTTATTGTGCTGATGGATGTACATTTTACCAACACGATGGGAACCTGTCATGTTATTTATTTCCCTAACTTGTCACCAGGGTCCATGCTTTCATTGTTGTACATTGTCATTCAGTCCTTGTGCAGTTTCAGAATTACACGAGGCCTGAAGCGATTCCTCCCTACCAGAGCTTCAATTTCTAACAACAAAGTGAAAGGCCTGCATTTTATAGCCTATTAGGAGTTGATTCAAACTAGTTGAGGGATGACATTGCAGCTTTTTGTGGTGGGAAAAAAAAATCTAACCTGGGATCCAACCTGGAGCATCACGTCAAAGAAAATCCTATTGGAAAGAGTTCCATATCGGGACTGTTTCATTGGATGACCTGTACACAACCCGAATCAGACTGGTCTGAAAATTATCTAGAGTTCTCAGTCATGCTCCGGTATTTTTCCTGCTAAATTTGACCTTGTAGGATGTTAGCACTTTTTGATGGCTGCAAACCACTGCTAGGGAAATAAGTGATGTCCATATGGAACTCTTGCTGTCCCTTGTGCTAGAAAAACTATGACCTCAAGTCATAGTATTAGAATTTAAGTATTTGTTTATATATACATTTAAATGTACATAAACATTTTGATGCAAAATGTTGATGCATCATGACTCCGCACATTTTAAAAATTGCAAACTATTTTTAGGTTGGGCCTGATGGGCCATGTTGTTTTATTATTCCGTGTTCAGAATGGTACACCCTAAATATTGCCAGGGTACACAATTTAGCCACAGTAAAAGTACTTGGTACTACAGACGTTTTTCACCCAAGTGACTGGATTGCGCTAAAAGTAAACAATACCACCATGTACGGACCGTCTTGGCCACGGCGATTGCATAGTTTCAACCATGTGCGAATGCTGCATGCTTGACTAGTTTATCTTGAATAAGTAGATTACCATCACAACGCTATGCACTCATTACCATCACAACACATTGCGGTCCAGCACGATTGTGACATCACAGGAAACAGGTTTCCTGAGAACTTGAGATTCAAGCTTTTCTGAAGTAGTTGTGAAACTCACTAGACCCTCTCTTACTCTGTCAGTAAAAATTCGAGTTTAACAATTGTAAATTGAGTTTTTAAGGAACAAAAAGGTTATTGGACCAACCTGTGTTCCAGAGAATAATGCTGTGCATAATGTATGTCATTCTTTCAAAGAGACAAAACGTGAAGATGTGAAGTTGAACGCCTTGAGAAATCCACATCTTCAGCAAGGCAGTTAAACTTGCATTTTTCCCTTTCACAGAATACTTTGATGGTTGCTTGAGCGATCCCTGTGCTAACAACGGTCACTGCGAACTGTCAGTGTTAACCGGAAGCAACAGCACATCGCTGTCCTGTAAGTGCCTAGACGGATTCAGTGGGACCATCTGTGGATCAGGTGAGTGATTTTACCCACACAGTTCTGCGCCTTTCCTTGTTAATCCTGCAGCTGCCCAATAGAATGTAAGCAGAGAGAGCAGCATATCAGAAATTGATATCTTTTAGGTAGGGCAAATTTGGTGAAATGGATGTACACATTGTTGAGATACCTGGTAGTAGGCCCACTATTGAGAATCTAATATCAACATTTCTGAAGTACTGTACATGTAATTGTGAAATTCCCTTTACCCCATTGATTTTACACCTGCAGCATTTCTTAGACTGCTAGTGAACAGAAAGTTGCACTATGATTAAGTTTTAAAGGGTTCCCATTGTAGAACCAGTGAGTCATATTTGCCAACATAGCTCCAGGCTTTGTCTTGTCGATCCCGTGGCTGTTGATGAGAAGATCAGAGAGATGAAATGGTTTTCATAGGGGTAGTTTCTCATGACTGCTGATTTGTCTGAAGAGTTTGAGCAGCTTTAGTGTCATTCATTTCTTCCAGTCACCACTGGGCAGACGCCTTGCTCCAGTAGACATTGTGAAAATGGTGGCACCTGTTACCATGACAACACTGGAGCGTTCTGCGTCTGCACTGACGATTTCTATGGGACAGAGTGTGGTAAGCGTGCTTGTATTAAAATAAGACTTTTATTGTTCAAACTGAAGGTTTTCTATTCATTTTCTTAATTGTGATGCCACTGAATTTAAAAATTCTCTGTAAAAGGTTGAAACTGACTTTTTATTGACAAAATATTTTCTCACTAATCTAGATCATAAAAGGCCTTTTTCTTATTTCTCAGTTTTGAGCAGGCTTACATGTATGTCAAAATTTATTAGCTTCAAATGCTCAGTTAGAAAAAAACAAAGTCGTGTTTGAAATCTGAATACCTTACATGTATTTGACTTGTTTTACAACATTCAGAATGGACTTCTTGCCCAAATGTACTACGTTTGACCNAACATGCATGTGCACCATTAAATACAGCAAGCTACAGTGTAATATGCATTATGGGCTTATAATGATAATTATGTAGGCTTGTGTGTACAAGGGATCTATCTAGAGGCATACTGATCAGTATGGCCTCCCGTTCTGTCCAGCACCTTTCCCCTGCAAGTAGCATTCACTCAGGATCCAACTCCCTTAAAGGTGCCACCCAGTCCCACAGGCAATGTAACGCTGCTCATAAGTACCAGTAGAGGATATTTTTCCTCTTATTTGTATCATCATAAGATCAAATAAACTCCCTAGTTATCGTCATGTCCAAGATTACCTGTCAGCCAAAGGCCAATTTTGCCTGTTAGGCCCAAGCACAAATTCCGTCTTGTGATCTAAGCAAAAAGATATACTGTATGGTGAATAAGTTGTTGCTAATAAAATTGGCCACATGTTATCCTCTCTGTTATCTCATGTTTTTGATGGTCAGTGACTATCTGCACCTTTAACAGGAAATTCATTTCTTGAAACTCTAGCTGGCAAAGCTGGTAAATTTTATGCATTGCTTACTGTGACCTATTTAATAGTGGCAATTTGACTCTAAGAAGTGAAAGTGGTGACGAAATTACAAAAATTTGGGGAGAAAGAATTGGTTTCCCAAGAAGATGCCCAGAGGTGTCAATAACCCTACCACATTTGTGCAAGAGGCCATGTTAATATGATCCAAGTTGAAGGATGAGTTAAAACGTCAAACGTACATGTACATGCCACAACTCGACTCTGACCCCACCTCTTTTGTATACACACACACACACAAGTGTGTAAACGCCTTCAATCGTGGACTCCCTATTGTTCCTCTTTTGTTCATACTTCAACTTTTTCGGAAGACCTCCCATATGTTTTGAACACGTTTTCCAACCGCGGACTCTTCGGCAACCGTGGACCCTATTGTCCCCTATTGTTATAGGTCCACGATTGAAGGCGTTTACGCACTCACACACCCAAAAGTGTGTATTTGCCTGCAACTGGGGACCCCCTATNTACATGCATGTGCACCATTAAATACAGCAAGCTACAGTGTAATATGCATTATGGGCTTATAATGATAATTATGTAGGCTTGTGTGTACGAGGGATCTATCTAGAGGCATACTGATCAATAGGGCCTCCCGTTCCGACCAGCACCTTTCCCCTGCAAGTAGCATTCACTCAGGATCCAACTCCCTTAAAGGTGCCACCCAGTTCCACAGGCAATGTAACGCTGCTCATAAGTACCAGTAGAGGATATTTTTCCTCTTATTTCTACCATCATAAGATCAAATAAACTACCTAGTTATTTTCATGTCCAAGATTACCTGTGAGCCAAAGGCCAATTTTGCCTGTTTGGCCCAAGCACAAATTCTGTCCTGGGATCTAGCCATAAAGATATACTGTATGGTGAATGAGTTGTTGCTATAAAAATTGGCCACATATCCTCTCATGTTTTTGATGGTCAGTGGAAATCTGCACCTATACCAGGAAATTCGTTTCTTGAAACTCTAGCTGGCAAAGTCTTAAGCTGGTAAATTTTATACATTGCTTAAAATGACCTATTTAATAGCGGCAATTTGACTCTCAGAAGTGAAAGTGGTGACGAAATTACAAAAATTTGGGGAGAAGGAACTGGTTTCCCATGAAGATGCCCAGAGGTGCCAATAACCCTGCCGCATTTGTGCAAGAGGCCATGTTAATATGATCCAAGTTGAAGGATGAATTAAACGTACATGTACATGCCACAACTCAACTCTGACCCCACCTCTTTTGTATACACACACACAAGTGGACTCCCTATTGTTCCTCTTTTGTTCATACTTCAACTTTTTCGGAAGACCTCCCATATGTTTTGTACACGTTTTCCAACAGTGGACTCTTCGGCAACCGTGGACCGTATTGTCCCCTATTGTTATAGGTCCACTATTGAAGGTGTTTACACACTCACACACACCCACACAAAGTCTTAGTACATGTGCGGATACCGTCACGTCACACCAGTAGCATGTTGAAAAATATGTGGTTTGTGATAAAAAATGCCACACAAGTACTATCAAAATTAAATCAAGGGATCCAAGGTTATCTGTGTTTGTGGCAAATCTGTCCCCATTCCATTTTGCCTTTTATCAAGAGCAAAACGTTCGACCAAATATGATACCAGCGGTAAGTGGGTTTAATAAGTATTCAAGCCCATTGCTGACTGGATTGCGCATGTGTTTTCCCCACACACTTTTTTTTTCTTTCTTTTGCAGAGAACGACCATCCTTGCAGTACCGTGCAGTGCCAGAACGGGGGGACCTGTAATGCTGACCACGGGGAGCCCATCTGTCTGTGTCCATCTGGATGGTGGGGCAGAACCTGCGAATCGAGTGAGTCAGAAACCGCGTTGAAAAAGTTCACGGAAAGGGGAAAAAAAGAAAGAACTTGCAGCTTTTAGACTGACCTTGATAGGCGTGGTCTCTGTGTTTGGAGGGGATGGTTACCTTTTCCCTTAGCATTGTAATGGTATCTTTTACTTTCATCGGACCTGACACTTAGCTTGTCATACAAACGTGCGCCTCTCCACCCAGGAGTAAATGGGTACCTGTGAGGGCAGACACGGTTATGTTTAGCTGTTTGCACCAAAATGGCAGCATCAGGCTAGTATACTCACTGGGGAGCTGGGATGGTTTCAGGAATGCTCAGATGATGTGAGCCCAATGTGCAGGAATATTGAGAATAAGTGTGTAGGGACATTTCCGTAATATGCACTATGTAAGAACTGACTATATTTACAAATACATGTAGGTCATTTGGGAGACATTTTGTGGTAAATTTTTCAGCATTAGGGAGACATTGGCGTTTAGGGAGACATTTCAATGTCTCCCTATATTCAAACTACCAGAAGGAGGCCGAATTTTATAGTCCATATTTTGAGAGATGATAGTTTAGGGCTTAAAATGAAAACAGACAAAGTTTGGTTCAGATCAGATTAGGGAATATTGAATTATGGGACAGTAAAGTTGGAAAAATTTTGTGCACGTTCTTATTGCGATGTCTCCCTAATGACCTGTTAGCGGTAAATATTATTATTATTATTATCATAAGATGTCATGCCATCCTTTTGTTATCAATTTCATTAAAATCAGACAACCATTATCACTAAATGTCATATAAATGAATGTAAACACAGAAATATTTGTTGGATGGAATCAAAACTAATTCTCAGATAAAAGCCATGTGTTTACTTACACACCAACTTTCAAGAAGATGGTCTCTGGAACTTTCAAGATCTTTAAGGGGGATAGGGAAAAGTATGCAACATTTTCTAAATATATATGTATTTGCATTCTTATTTTTTATTGTGTGAAATTTCTGGACTGTACTTTTCCTTACATTTTTTACGTTCCACCCTCAGCCACCCTCACAGACCCTTGTAGTGTCTTGAATCCCTGCCGCAATGGAGGAACGTGCTTCAGTGGCCTTGACTTTGTCTACTGCAGCTGCTCCTATGACTACGTTGGAGTCAACTGCGAGTTCGGTAAGTCAGTAGAACGGAACGGATTGTCCCTGGGGAAAAAGTACAATTGTATTGTCCGTGGGAAAAAATCGAAATGAAGCCATTGCTTTTGTAACCCTGGTTTCACCCTAAACACTGATAACCACCCAGTAGTCGAAACCTTCAATACCAAACAATTTTTGGCTGGCTAGTCATAACATGACCCAGATCCCGTGAAGAAGTTTTCAGGCATTTTTTTTATTTTTGTATTTGCTCTATATATGTTGAGAAGTGTTTTTAGGAAGTTATTTAGAAATTTCACTTGACTGAGAATTGTATTGTCTGGATTGAATGGATGCATTTTACAGCTGACCATGTTGACAGTTCGAAACAGTTGTCATATTATGCCAAATTTGTTGGATCAAAGGCCTTCACTCAAAGTAGACATGATACTAAGGGCATAGATATGTGCTCGGCCGGTCTTAAACGTGCGTTTAAGACCAGCGCGACAGTAGGAAGTGACTACCTGCAGCTCAGGCATTTTCAACGTTCATTCTCCCAAACAAGGTCTTAAATCCACTTTCCAGACCGGCCACATATTTATTCCCATTCATAAATAACTTTTTATATAGAGAGCCAAAAGAAGTCAGCATATGATGGGTTTACAACGATTTTGTTCTAAAATGTTACTTTCATTTTCCTGAACACCTCCGTCCATTTTATTGGATATTCCTTTTGAAAGTTGTCCAATAGAATGGACTTGGCACACGCATTGCGCGTCTTGAGTGTTGTGTCACAGGCTCATGACCAATAGGGATGAAGTAAACTGTCTTTTGTATCCAGGTACAAACGCGAGTTTTATGCAGCGGGCATTATCAAATGTTAAAACACGGTCAAGTTGCACGTTATTGAATAGGGAGACTGTCCGAGGTATTTATGAATGTATGTAATTTTTATCATATTTTGTTGGGTTGGGTCACAGCCCTGGAAAGAAGGGAAGAACAGTGTGTTAATTTCCACACGTCCCTCATAGTGTTTCTGTTGTCACGATGCTTGCAGAGGTAACTACCGGCATGCACGTCTGCGAGTCCTCCTCCAATCCGTGTCAGAACGGCGCCTCTTGCGTCCGAGCGGGCAATGACTTCTTCTGCCAGTGCTCCTTTGGATGGTATGGCCAATACTGCGTGACGTGTAAGTTTCGCCGGGGGACATTTGCCTCTGTGTCCCAGCCTGAGCCCATAATTAGCTGGAAAATATGGACATAAATGCCTTATTGGGTGATATGGAGTGGAAGAAGGTTACCATGCTGAGACAACATGGCCCAAGCTTCATGTCAAAGATCAAAAAATTGAGTTTTATTTTGAAACAGTTCACTGATTCAAGTAATCACGGCTAAATTCAAGGAGAGGAAACATTTTTCCATTCAGTTTGTGCAGCCTATCATACATACCTGTGGTACAGTACAGTAACATAGGATTTTACTGTTGAAGAAAATCCTACAGAAATTCAAAATATGGGAAGTGAAATGTGCTTTGTGCAAATTGATCAGTTTTAGCCTTGTTCAACCTCTGACCCATTCAGTTATTTGTAGCCAAAAAGTTTTATGGATTTTTCATTTGGAATCTACTTCCTTAGTCTTGCTGAACATGAAGAAGTTTTTTTTATTATATAGCAGTTGAGACAGGATGTAGGACAAACCTTTATAGAAACTTGATCGCTTTTAAGAGGAAACTGTCACATTTATTTGTCTTTCACAGATAACTTTGCTAATAGCCTGCTTTTGTTTGAATCGATAAACAAAATTTGACACATGATCTGAAAGAGAGAGAAACAGGCTTCAAACATTAGTATTTTTCACCATTCTGGGTTTTTTTCTTGTTAAATTCTTAAAGTCTGTTGTTCTGTTTTTTGTGCGACAGCAATCTCACCGTGCAGGGATTACACTTGCCACAATGGTGGGACTTGCTACGTGGCTATCTCCACCCACTACCCCCGCTGTAATTGTCAGCCTGGCTGGACGGGCATCGACTGCTCGGACCCAGTTAGTAAGTAGACCATCAACCCCACCCCCTCCCAGTTTGTTACATGCCCCTCTCCGTCTATCGCCATTCCGTATGACACCTTCTCAACATCCTGCTTTGACTACCGTGTACCCAGGATGTTCCCCTGGTGAACCCTTTTTCTACCCCTGATGAACCCTTTTTCTGCCCCTGATGAACCCCTTTTCTGCCCCTAATTAACCCTTTTT